TTATTTTACTTCTTCTTGATAATTCTTTAAAATTTGGTGAATAATTGGTGACAGCACTTCTCAGTTAATTCTTTGAGATGCTGGTTAGATAATACTGATTGGTGTTTGGATTTCACGAAATTTTAAAGTGGAATAAAATGATTCACATAAGTACGTTGTTCCGAATGTTGAAATAATTCGACAAGCAGCCCTTTTTTAATTCAGGATACTTTGATTCTGGTACAAATTTCCGAAATTCAGTAGTAATCGGCGTCGACTTATATTTTAATTGTAGAGCTTGATCTTCTTGCATCTCTATTAATTCTAATTCTCCAGATGCTTTCTGCGTCATAATTATATTGGAAATGGAAAACTCACATTGAATTATGTTAACTTCAAATGGATTCAGAAAAAAATCAAGAGACGAATTTAAAATATTTCAAGTCTTGAAATCTATTTTGAATTCCAATCAATATCCTTCTAGCTTTTTTATATACTCGTTGAATTTTTCTTGTTTTATATTGGAAATGACAAAATGTTTTATTTTTAATGTCCTTTTGAAAAAGTTGTAATTTAGTTTGAAAACTAAATATACACTGTGAGAGGTCAGATATTATTTATCTTTCCCCTTCAATTGCAAATTCAATGTTTGCAAATGTTTCATGACATCAATCAAAAACATGAAGTCTTGTAACTCATTATCACATTAATTCTGAATAGGTTATTTCCTTTTCGTTTAGAAATGCAATTATTGAATCAAACAAATCTACAAATCGATTTAATAAATTGTAGATAAATAACCATCTAACAATGGAAAAGAATAAATGTCATTTGGAAGTTCTTCGTCCTTTAATTCTTCAAGAACATTTTTGAATTGTCAATGACTTTTGCATTGGTGCGAATGTAATTTACAATGTGTAACACGGTTTTCATAACATCAGAATAGCAGTGAATCGGTGTGAATTATGGAATTTGAGAATCATCTCTTAAAAGCCCAATAAGACCAATTTTTTTTTACCCAGCATTGCCAGAGCTCCATCAGTTGCAATGCTTACGTGTTTATTAAGAGGCACTTCAAAAGTTTGCATTGTGGAGTCTAATGCATTTTTAATATCGACATCGCGGATTGATTCTTGAAGTGCTACTAAATCTAATAATTCTTCTTTAACAACAAACTCAGGTGAAACAAAACCTATGAAAACTGCCAATTGTGGAAGATCTGTGATATTTGTCAATTCGCATCAAGGGCTAAGCTGAATGCAATACAGTTCTTCAAATCATTTTTTAAATTATATTCAGGAGATTGCAGTTATGCGTCGTGTCGGTTGTGTGTCTCGAGACCCTCTCGAGATTGCGAAAACAACTTTGTGCACTGTGTGTGAAATTATTTGTATTATAAAACTTTAAGTACACCTTCCAAGTTTTTTTAATAAATTTTAATAAATAAACTCTCTTTCTCCATACAGGCATTTTGCATGAGCAACATTTTCCAGGCAGTATAAGCAAACTAGCTTCAGCTACATTATTAACTTGATTGCTAAAGGTCATCAAAATTGACTGCTTGTGTATTTAAATTTGATTTTAAAGTAGCAAGTTTATCTGATCTTAATTTGGAATTTGGTGGATACTGATTAGAAAACTGAGGATAGTTGGTTTCATAATGTCAACGTAAATTGCTAGCTTTATAATTTTTGATCATAGAATTATAAATAACTCATAATGCTTTTCCGTTATGGTCAATAAAAAAGAAATTCTAATCCCACTCATAAGTAAAACTTCTATTTTCTTGCTCGTATTTTCTTTTTTTATTTTCGTTCTCTGTTGTCATATTTTTAAAAGAACAGCTGGAGATAAATAAAGAAATTTAGAATATACAAGTTTTGTGTTGTTAAAACAATAACAACGCGTATTGCATACTACGAAACAAATTTTAGTTAACTTACCAAAAATTCCAGATTACAAATCGTATCTGTAGCAAAAGTGAAACAAATTGTTTTCTCCAGGACACAATGTCAACTGTCCGTTGCAATGAAAGTTGACAAATTCGAAATCGGTCTGAAGTTGGTTGATTACGTAGATCGTCATTCGTCGAGAAGCAATCGGCCGGACAAGGCCTTGACTCCCGTATGTTTTCTCATAATTCGAGAGGCAGTCGAAAGGGAGGAAAATCAGATGAACGGAGATGTTATGCCACTGTTTATGTTCATTCGCACAAGTTTTCAATGAGTCATACCATTCTTAACTTGGACGAAAAGACATTTGTTACAACGTTGCACTTAGTCTTTCATATTTGTTGTCAGTAATTTAAAAGACATTTTGAAACACATATGGGACGATAATAATTTTTTAAAATATAATAACACAAAAATGAAATGGAACTCGGGTACATTTATCAAGAGCCACAAATAATCCTTCAAAGAGCCGCATGTGGCTCACAAGCTGCAGGTTGACCACCCCTGTGCTAAAACAAGAAAATGCTTTTTGTTATGTTGAGAATTTTTTAGCTGCTGCTAATGACCCATCCAAATGAAAAGCCTCTGCCAATAGCAACTGCTTTTAAGTAGTTTAATTATTGATCATAATTAATGCCAATTAATAATCTCATGAGCCAGTGTGGGGAACAAACTTGGAGTACTTGAAAACAAACAAATAAATAAAAAGAAGCTAACTTCTGTTGACAATGTGGCCAAACTAAGAAAGCTTAAAAACTTTCCTCTGAGGAACAGAAATCACATGTTAGGGAAAAAGAAATACATAAATCCTCTGTTGCACAACATTATTTGTCAAATCATATTTTCCGTTTTTCTCCAGCTAAAATTATTTTAAAAGCATTTTCTGTTTGCAAACTAAATTTTCTAGAGGCATTTCACATTCATAAATATCTTTGAGGTCTAGTTTGTGATCTAATGAATTTTCTAGTACATTGTTTTTACTCGTATTGTGTGAGCACAAGGCTTGTCTTTCATCATTTTTACTTCTGCAGCTGAATATATCATGCTTCTACAGTCAAAACTTCAAAACTAGTATTGCAAATTTATAAATATTATGAAGGAATTCCTATTATTTGAGTTCTGTAGTAATTGTTATGTAGTGTGTTATTTTTATTTTAATCTAATATATGTTTTTAAGTATAGGTACACTGTGCAAAAAAAAATGGGACAGTTCTATATCTCCCATTCTACTGGGCCGATTGACAAAATTCAAATTGTTTTTCCATGTCTCGAAAGGGCGACTTAGGATATATCTTAGATTTTTATATAGCAGGTATTTTATCACAAAATTGGACTTTTTCTGAAATAACATACCACTTTTTTTCCCATATTTCAATTCTACAACTCAGATGATGCCTAGATATTAAATTTTGCAAAATTTACGGAGAAATTCAAAAATTAAACAATTTTTTCAGTTTGCGCCAAGAATGATTCACTTGGTGAACTTCTTAATGTATGGCAACCAATTTTTCTTCACCTTCCATAATGCCAGGAACGGGAAAAAAAGGCATCTCATTTCTACCTTGTTACATTATGCATGAGAAGAAAAAATTCACACCGTTTTCGTACTTTCAAATAATTTTAGCAAAGTGTCTAAACAACATTTAATATTTTATCGCTTTCAACAAATATGCCAAATTTCAAAACCCACCAATATATAAATTCACATATATCTTCAGAAATTTTGAATAAACTGTAATTTTTTGCAGGTATGCTTAGAAATATGTCTACTTTAAGATGATGGTAAAACTTTTATAGGTTTGTAATTCAAAGTGTTTTTCGAAAAAGTTTAAAAATTTTTTTTTAAATACAAATTTTAAAAATTAATCATAAAAAAGGGTGAATTTTATTTGGAATGAACCTATTTCAAAATTTGCAAGGAAGAATGAAATAAGTTTAACAAACAAAGAGAGATTAATAAATATATTCCAAACTCAATTAACATTGAGGAGCTAAAATTTTGAGAGCTAATTTTTTAAACACTACTCATGCAGTTTTCACGAAACTTGGTAGTTTGGCGTAATTTGAGTCGTTGACTCAAAATATGGAAAAAATTGCATGTCATTTCAGATGAAGTCCGATTCTGTGTAAAAATACCTATATTAGAACAATGCTATATGTAAACCTAATACATATCCTAAGTCATGCTGTCGAGACATGAAAAACGCAAGTTGCATTTCGTTGATCGGCGTAGTAGAACTAGAGATATAGAACAGTCCCTTTTTTTTTTTCGTGCAGTGTAAGTAATATCGTAAACTAGCATGTTTCTTTTTAATCAATAGATTTCCCTTCTCTGAGTGCACATTACTTTCCCCAAAGATGGTAGAGTCAAATATTTATCTCATTTAGACTGTCAACTGCACTGAGCTAAATTTGTTTTTCAGACAAATATGCTTTGTCTGAAAATCAATCTTTAATCAGCACAGTAGACAGTCTTAAGTAAGATAATTGGAAATGAATGGTATGGAATAATAAACAGAATATGAGGGATGTGATAAGTTATATTAATAAATATAATTTAAAAACAGAGTGCCTGAAAACTCAATGAAAGAAGTGTATCCACAAAAAATATTATATCAGATAATACGAATGACTAAATATTTATTCATTATAAATATTTTCATTGTCATGTATACGAATTTTCTCCCCATTGCAAAGTTCAAATGGTTTTTAATTTTATCTTTTATTATGTTCTGTGTGCAGTGTGATATTCAGCTTCAATAATTTGCTAAAGGAAAATCATGTTATGGACTTATTAATGTTAAAAGAAAAAAAAAATTAGGAGCAAACAATAAAATTCTTATCAAATTCAAAAACTGAATTCTAAAAACATAGTACTATAAAATGATAGACTTGATTTTATTTATGGGCAGACATTTTTTATTTATGTGTAATTTATACATATTACCTTTTTACATTCTTTCATTTTCTCTTCTAAAATGTGTAAGAGCTGGTGTTGGCATCTGAAAATTAATTTTGTAATTTCTGTGTTTTTACACTGACATTAAGTTATCATATTTTTCTTTGTAGTGTACAGAACTTTGTACTTCCCATCATAATCGCCAAAATGTTTGTGTAGCCATTATGTGGGCTGCTGGTCAGGCTGGTAATAAAAACTTAGAAGCTGGATTTCGGGGTAATTTTTGATTATTTTTACTGTGATATCTGTTTTTAAATTATGGAAATATTATTTACTGAGGTTGAGTTTTTCCTAACATTTATAAATTATATATATATATATATTCTTTGTTTTGAATTGGTTAAAAGAGAGAACTTTTGCATTTTGTGCATATTTATGCAGGATATCGAAGAAATATTCTTTGTTTCTCTAAATGTTGATCCTAGCCATATATAGTCGAACTCTGATCATTTTGCACTTCCGACTGTCTGATTACTTATCTTGTTCCAGGCCCAGTAAAATTAAATTTATTGTTCATTTTAATGTTTCAGGACCAGTAAAATTAAACTTAGTGTTCACTTTAATTCTTTGTGGCCTTAAATATAGTACTCCTGTATCTACAGATAGTATATTCCAAGATATAATAATAAATGCTATATATGAAAGCAAAAGAGTGACTTAAGATATGTAGGTATAATCAAGTTGACATGATAAATTCTGCAGTACAAAATACTCCAACATTTAATCTAATACCCTTTGCTCCATGCTACATTGTGTACTCTATTATATCATAAAGTAATACAAAATACACTGTGGAATACAGTATGTTCCATCTTGTGCATGTGAAATTAAGGCATTATGCTGTAATTCCATTTAATCTGGATGTTTGAAATTTTACTGTATTTGCAGCTGCAAAATTCTTATAATAAAATATTCATTATACTTTAGTAAATTAAATGGAAAAATTTCCGTATCTTATGTGCAAATTCGCAAACAAGTTAGTAATTGTCTAGACTAGTCTGGTCTAAGTTAGTAATTGGTTGTTTCACGATGCTAACTACAAAGTTAATAACAGTTGCTGTATCTTTCAGTTAAGCACTAATCACCAAAGTTAACAGCTTCTGTTTTGTATTCATTTCATAAATTTGGTCATAAAAATCTTGAGTTTTTGTTACTAAGAAGTAACTTCTGACATCAGGAAAAAGCCTAACTTACATGCTAGATAGCATGCTATAATGCTAACAAGGTGAGTTTACATGAATGATTTTCACATAGTAAGCTGCAGATGAGTCCATCACTAAGCATATGTTTGCTTCTGTGCTAAATATACCTCATTTCTTTAAATAATCAAATGTTCATATAACATAGAAGAACTACTCACCTCACGGAAATTAATTGAATTTAAATGGTGTTACAGTACTATATCCTTTTCTGCATAACTAAAAGAAATATTAATTTATTTCACAATTTTCCTGATTATACGTTATGACAATTTTATTGCTAGAGTGCAAAGATTTAATAAATTTTTACTTTATTTTTCAGCTACTGGAATATTAAAGAAAAAGAATAAGTATTAATAAATGATTGTGAAAAATTTGAATTTTGAAATGGTTAAAAATCTGGTAGATAAGTTCAAAAAGGAAAATATGATTCCATTAGGAGTTAACAGTATTATAAAACTGCTAATATCCATTGGCTTTGTGTCTGATCAACTTTGCAAGTATGAAAAACATGTATTTTCTAAGAGAAGTTTGTTGTATGTGACTCTGTTTTGAAAAATTTCTTTTAGTGTGCCTAAAAATGAGTACCACTATTTATAAAAGCAGCTGTAGAAAAAATGGATACTGTTTTCTTATTGTATTTAATTTCATAAAACTTAGTGAATATTTTACTAACTGTAAATTTTTTCCATGGTCACTGTATACAAAGATAAATTTTATATTTAGTGAACCTTTCCAGCAGGATAGTATTTTTTTTCCATGAAATTCTTTATCTTGTTTTGAAAAATTATGTAATTAAAAATACATTTATAGGGCCAATATTTAAGGAAATAAAGCCTATAGCCTTCTTTTTAAAATAACCCTATATATCTCTAATTGTTTGTTCATCTTGTACATGAAAGGGGGATAATATTATTGTAACCACAATATGTAAAGGAAAATCAGGGAAAAGTTAAAATCAGTGTTATGTAAAAATATTTTTTTAATTTTTTTTAATTAATTGATCCACACTTGCCTTTTAGGAGAAAGTATTCTGTGATAATTAGACCATGAATGCCTAAGTGAATATGACTGCCAAGCACTAGTAGTTCAGTGCGAGTTCAAATCATGGTGAGCAGATTGCCTGCATGGACGTTTTTATGGTTTTCCCCTTATGTGAATTGCAACCAGTTTCCCTTAAAATAATCCTCCACACAAAATCCATTCATCCTTGTCAGGTAGCCTTAATGTGCTTTGCCATAATCTAATTATTCCAGTCATTGGTAATTAAAAAAAAGTGCTTAAAGTTTTGATTTTGAAATTCTAAAATAATCTTGCCAATTTATAACTACCAACTGTTGCCTGATGTAAAATAAGCATATTATTCTTAATCTCTTCATGATTAAGTTTTATATTCTGAATTCAGAACATTGAACAGAATAAAATTAGTAGTTGTATCTTTCAAATAATTACGACTATTCTATTTTATTCTCATTACTTTTTTTTTTTTTCCTAGAAAATACACCATAGATTATTCTTAAAAGAACTCATGATAAAACAGAGTGCATCTATTAAAATTATACTGCCTTGTAGTGTTTAGCAAAGGCTGACTAATTGCCTGGCTGTCGATCTTAGATAAGGCATAGATATTTGCAACTGGAATAAATAAGAGTATAGGAAGAAAAGTAGCCATTCCAGCATCAGTGAATTTTATGTAAACTCTTTGAGGGTCTTTGGTACATCCTATGTGTTTTTGTCATTTAACACTTCTAACTGTTCTTTACGTATGTATGTTTTCAATAAAATTTTGCCTGTCTGGATTGTAAAAAGTACATTTAGCATTTGATTTGGGTCCTGGACAAGGCAGAAAGTGTTAGTGATTACAGTATAACTCAAATTTGGAATGGAATTCAAGTGTATAGTCCTTGTGTGCACTGATTAAATAATTCATTCTAATATTCTTACATCTGTTAAACAAACATATTAATGTTTTTATATTTTTCCTGTAGTAAAATTTATGCAGCATAATAATACAATAATTTTAACTTTTCTGGGGGGTGGGAGCAGATTAATACTGTTTTAACTCTGAATAATCTGGATTCTGTTGTACTTTTTAGATTATATACCCATATTTAGTATGTTGTATGTCTTCAGATTAAAGACTTACAGTGAGCAAATACCAGGTGTTTCTGGATATAAGTCAAATTTAAAATCCCTCTACAAGTTGCCAAAGATTTAAATAATTAATCATTTAACTTAACTAAGCATATTGAATGAACTGAAACTAAATGCCAAGTCCTTATCCATTTAGAAATAGAACAGAAATGATTGTCTATTTGTTTAAAAAAAGAAAAGAAATTTCATTAAAAAGAGCAATGTTATGTGCAGAACTGAAGATAATTTTATCTACAGAGTATGTGATGGCAATGTTAATAGTGAAATGGATTCCATTCACCTTAGACTTAAATGCAACAGAAAGAATACCAAACATTCTGGGCCAGAATTATCCATTTAGAAATAGACCAGAAATGATTGTCTATTTGTTTAAAAAAAGAAAAGAAAATGCATTAAAAAGAGCAATGTTATGTGCAGAACTGAAGTTAATTTTATCTACAGAGTGTGTGACGGCAATGTTAATAGTGAAATGGATTCCATTCACCTTAGACTTAAATGCAACAGAGAGAATACCAAAAATTCTGGGCCAGATGCTAGTATTCAAAAGTTTGATTAATTTATAATAATTAGAATTAAATAAAATAAAATTAATATTTTTTCAGTTACTCAGTTTTTGTTATTAAATTATTTAGAAGTCATTTGAGCATATATATATGCTGACTCTCACACTTCAGTAGCAGCTTACATACAGGCACTTTATCCAATGAGTATTAATTGCTTGCAGGTAGTTTATAGTGTTTGTATTAGTTATGTTAACCACTTGCGCTAAAAAGACGTGCCACGCACGTCGAGATGCTTTTGTCTCAGACCTCGAGCAACGTGAACACCACGTCGGTAGGCATTTTTCACAGAAATGAAAATAATGTGGTGCACACGTCGCCTAACAACGAGATTGTTTTATTTCTCAAGTTGCAGCTCTGGATTACACTCTTAGACGCGGAGCGGCGTAAATGAGACACTTTACCGCTTGTTGTACTGTAGCGCGCGGCACCACAACCGTGACGTTTAGTTGTAGCGCAAGTGGTTAAGTTTGTTTAAGTCAATTTCATAATCATATTTTTGCAATTTTTCTCTTCATAATAAAATCTGAAATAACTTTATGATGTTTAAAAATTTAGCCATTAGGTACCTAATCTGCCATTAGGTACATTTTTGGGGGGTAATAAAATTTGCATTTTGAGGAATCTGCTTTTTGTTTGTGTTTTAAATGAATAATGAGTTGTAATTTAAACATGAATATTGTGCAACATTTTTAAGTATATGTTTTACAGTGTTAGAAGTCATAATTTTGTGATTTTACAGACTTTAGTTTATAATTTTATTTTCAGTGTGGTTTGACCTCATGTTTCCTTTGATTGGAACAAAAACTTGTACTACTTTTGCTGTGGAATATCTGGAAAAACTAGTAAGGTATGATAATTTCTTGCATCAGATTCATTTTAATTCAGGTTGCAGCCTAAGCTTATATATATATTATAAATATTATAGATGCACATAATGAGTGAGTGTTGGTTGGTTGGTCGGTCGGTTTGTGAGAAATATATTCTTATCATGAATTATACAGTATAATGAACAAAATCTATGCTCTTGTTTGTGATCACATTTCTGCCATTTCTACATGTTTGCAACAATTTCAATGTAGGAGAGAGTTGAAAGTGTTTGCAGGTGGCAAACAAATTGATAGAGAGAAATGAGAGAGAAAAAGAATGCAACATATCCAAGAAAGTTTAGTGCAGCATAATTTAGTGTAATATCAGTTCTAAAAAGTTAAATGTTCTGATTTTCTACATAATAAAATAAAATCATTTAACTTGTTTATTTTGCTTTTTGTGAATATATATTTTACAACAATTTAAATACTGTTGTGAACTGTAATAATTTAAAAACTGCGGCTTGTTTAACCATTCCTGCAATAATCAGTTATTTGAAATTAGTATTTTAAGGCTTTAAATGTATTTAAAAAAATTTTAATCTTATTAAAAAATAAGCTTGTGTATGCATCAGGATGTTACACACTTTTCTTGACTTCCCTTTTTTTTAATTATTATTGCATTTCAATTATTACTGCTTTTCAGCTAAATGGCATTATGAATATTTTCAATATAAATTTATTCTGATAATATTTGAAAAAAAAAAATATTTATTTTCACTTTGTTTGTTTAGTCATTTGATGGTGAGTTTCTTTCAGGCATGATAATTTAGCCAAGATTGACAAAAGCATCATTGGAGTGAAGGATTTATTTCCTGTACTAGATTTCATATATTCCAAAGACATAGTAAAAAATGTTCAAAGACGAATTTTGTCCGTGTACCCCATCTTGAAGGTCTGTATTTATATCAATGTTTCAATGATAGAATGTTTCAATGATTATATATATTTGAATCTTTCAAGTATAATCAGAATATTATTCATACAACTGGTCTTTCAGTCTTTTATGTTTCTCAAATACACTGAAACCTCACTATGTGAACTCTTGGATATAAGAACAAACTTTTTGGATTCATCTAATTTCGTTTTTACTCAGTGTTACTTTTATACAGCTATAATCAACTTCCAAATATACAAATTTAGATGTAGCAGATTTTATGGGTATTTTTGACTAAAATAATTTTTATAATTTTGTCCAGAATTTTGGCAAGTTTTGACTGAAAAATTACTAACCCTTAAATTCGTCCCATGTTAGAACTAATGAAACTCTTCCATGTTACATTTATCTTTATCCCCCCAGTCTTGCTCTGTATTCTAAACAAAGGCTATGCATGTGTAGCATTTCATTCTTGGAGAACCAAGACACACAATAAGATATCTTAGGAGACCATATGGTGTCTATGACCATTGAGATGAAGAAAATGAATGGGTGATTTGCTTCCATTCAAGTTTTTCAACTGAGCTGTCAGGCAGAGCTGCATTCAAATCTTGTGCTATGACTGAAATTAGCTATTTGGGGAAGGCAAAAATTCTGAATAGGTTCTGAGTTTAAGGCTATACTGATGATAATTCTCTTACAGCACAGAAGTTTTTTATTCCTATCAGTGTGTGTTGTTTCAGTATTTAAAATGATGTTAAAGTTCTGTCTTCTGAATGGAGCATTTTGCATTTCTGCAAGATTTATATTATTCATTATAAGGGTTACTGCACTATTGCTTTGCTGCTATACATATCTTGTTTGAAATAAATACATTCTCGCTGAACAGTGGATAGGGCAGATTAATAATAAAATTATGTTCATTTGTTATATTTTCCAGAAGGCTAAAACTTCACATATTCTTTTAGCTAACTCTCCTCATTCTGTACTGAGGAACTTTTTGGTGTCAAAAATTTATCTGTACGCTGAACTGTAAACATATAGAATTCTGTATCGAAGATGAGTTGAGTGCTATTTGAAAAATACAGAATGGATGTAGTTAAACCTGTATCTTCTGGAAATGCAGTTATCCAAATCAGTAGTTGCTGTTGTTTTTTATTCCTATCAGAAAAATCGAGACTCGAAAGTTTCTACTCTTGGAAAAGCAATTGGATAAAATAAAGAGTTAAAAAAGGCTTTTGAGCATAAAGATGCTGAAGAAGCATTTCTGAAATTCCAAGGAATCCCATTCCAAGAATTCCTCAGAGAAGGCAAAATCTGTTATTTATCTGGACAAATGTTAGTTATAAATATGTGTTTTAAATGGAGGTGTGTAATTGGAAGTATGAATCTAAACCATGACTTTTGTAGCAAGTAATTTATTGTGTAAAATTAGTAATACATGATGAAACTGAAAGACAATGAAAAAGAAATTTAGTAATTGCATACAGTAATAATTGTAATTAATGCATAATTTTTTATTATTATTGTTTAGTGTTACTATTAACTTCTCTTGGGAGATGTGACAAATGCTAATCAGCCCTTTTTATAATTTGTCATTAATTTTTGGATTATTTTTAGATAATCTTTCACCTCCCTCCATTTGATCCCTCCCTCTATTCCAGATTGAGTATAGGAAATCAAACTTTGAATCCTATAAAGTTTGCTTATAGCAGAGTTTCATTGTATGTCTAAGAATAGAAGCTGTTCGTTTGTAAATGTTTATTAATAACCATCAGACATGGACTATTTTATTATTTCTGCTCTTTTCATTATTATTATTATGTTAATATAGTCTTAGTGAAATCAGCTTCCAATTAAAGTAAAAATATGTAAAAATGTTTGTATTGTTAGGTGTAAAATGTTACACAGGTTGTTTTAAAAGTATCATATTGCTAAAAATCTCTTGAACAGTAAATTGTAGATGCATGGTTCCAGTTTAAGAAAAGAGTCAAACAAAGCAGGCATTTCCAAAGTACAAAAATTTTGGTTTTGTCTTACCTTTTAGAAATGTAGTTAAAATTAAAATTTTTATACAGACACTCAATAGAAAAATTTCCCATTAGTAAAATCTAAACCTAACTAAATCTTCAGGAAATAGGTTTTTCATAATTAGCCTGGAAAAAATAGTGAAAATTATGCAAGACTGCAGTTTTAACTGGCGGCATAAAGATATTAATTTAGGAGTTGTATGAAAAGTATTTTTGATGAAATTTTTAAGTTTTAATATTTCTACAAATGGGAATTCAAAACTCATGGATTTATTTTTACAGCACAAAAGATATCTTATAGAAGAGCATTGAAATTATAGATTTTAGATATGGTATGAAGTTTGGTTTAAGTTTTCTTGCAAAATCTGCATTTGTCTTCTCATAACTCTTGCTCAAGAAGATAATGATTTTGTGATGTTTAGCTGTTTATTTTTAACTAATAGTTCATTTTAAGTTAGCACTTTCCTCTTACCCTCTTTTTTCCTCTTACCCTCTTTTTATCCATACTTTTCATGCTAGAATGTAAATGAGACAGCGAGCATTTATGCAGATTAAGGTAGAAAGAAGTGCTCTTTAAGCAGGAGTTTTTCGGAAGTTAATTTTTAAAGCCTGTCTGCCTATTCTAGGCCACGTTGTGCCGTCATTATTAGCAGCTTGATCAAGTGGCATTGAGTGCTTCTAGACATTTAGCTTTGCCTTGCCGGTTTTCTACAAATCAGAACCATTCCTGCGCATTATATTATCTTGTGAGCCATTAGGCTAATCTAGCATATTTTGAATCTGTTCATCATTGTGTATTTCTGTTAAGCGAAAAGTGCTTGGCTTGTGTAAACCCGAGTTGGGTAACTGTTACTTTTGTGTTTGAATAAAAAGGTCTTATACACCCTTCTTCTGACTTTTGTTTTGTTTTACAAAGCTAGAATATAATTCTTTAGTAATCTTTTTAGTCCATAGAATTAGACTTTATAATCTAATGAAGTTCTGGAAAATGTTAACTATAATGGATCTCATGTACGGAATAGCAAAAGTTTGTTTGCAAGTAAAACCAATAACGCTTGTTCAATTATGGGAAAAGGTTCTTCCTCATATAAAGGTCTATGATTTATCTAACGCAAGAAAGTCGAGGCAATAACTGAAGTCGTATGCCAAAAATTGAAAGTATAAAAATTTTCAGAAATGTCGATAGAGAAAACATCGAGGAATGTTTTTAGGGTGATTCGACAGAGCTGAACTTTCAGTGCTAGAGTGACATGGATATTGTTTCGAATGTCAAAAGAACAGAAGAGGCAGAGAGTGATACTGAAAATACAAGTGAGGAAGACACTTTACAATAGCACTACTTCTGAGACAACAATGATTTTTATTTTTCAAATTCTTTGACGAAAGGGGATTCGAATACAGCGACGAAATAGCACTTTGAAAAATACACCATGAAATTCGATGAATATTTAAACTCTTTCAAAAATAAAGTAAAATTACATTACAAAAATAAAAACCTCAATTGGGCATGAAAATTGATAGTTTTGGTTATTTATATTTTTCAATTGTCCGTGACATGCTTCCCTGCCATTAGCTCAGATAATCGAGAGTACATTGTATTATATTATTATTAATAATGTAGTATATACTTATTTATAATATATATAAACTTTTCATTGTTTAAAAATTATGTTTTTTATATAAATATATAAAATAAATAATATCTTTTAAACTAAATCTAGATGAGAATATGTCTGATTTTTCCACTGACACAGATACATTTCTGAATCCAGTCCTAGTCTTGATTTAGTAATTAGATTTTTTTTTAGTCTCAAATTTAAAGCCTAACTGGAGCCTCTTATCCCGAAGAACTGTATAGAATTTCATAGAAATGTAGTTAAGTAGTTACTATTTGCGCAATATATTATAGAGTATTTTAAGGCAGATACTACATTTAATTTTTAGTACGAGTATGTTCTGTATATTATATTACTAAATGTTTTTAGAGGGAGGGCATTAAAAAGGTATCATTCTATGCTCGCTACGCTGCTGAGTTACATCATATCTGCATATTTAATTTTTGAAATTTGCTCTGTGAACCTTCATTACAATAAACAACAAGCCACCACTGCCTTCTTACACACAAGCAGATAAACATTAAAGAGATAAAACATTGGGATAACTGGGCTAATATGAGATGGTTCTTCCGAGACTCAGCTACATTCATGTTTAGGCATGTGGTAAATGTTAGTGATTTCTACTTGGATGATAGTACCCCTAAGTTACATTACATAATATTGATGATCTTATTCAAATCATCGGGATTTCTTCTTGAACTTGTTTTTGCACCATTAAAAGATTCTAGTGCCAACATTTCACCAAATAACATTAATTTTGCCATTCATATAGTGCATATAAAATATAACTAGGCAACTATTTACCATTCACTCAAAATCAAAAGTGGTTAACAGATATATAATGAAGTTAAAAATGAGTGAATGCATTAAGTTTCTACTTTATATATTTATGATAATTAAAATCTGTCATTACATCTTATTTGTTTTTTTTATTTTTGGTTCTTTTCTGCCTGCTAATAAAATTTTAATTTACAGTATTATTTTATTTAGCTTTAATGTCTGTTGTATTCTACAGACCCTTAATATCTATTGAATTCTTATAGTATTAAAAATGCTCGCTGTGAATTGCAAATTAATAATAGAAGTGAGGTTGAATATATCTATTTATACTGTAAAATTGTGTCAAATGTTCTGTTTATTAAGACATATTTGAATACTCTACAGTAGCTGTGTTTTTCCGATTTCTTCAATATTTACGTATATCTTTTTTCACAGCAATTGAGCTATGGACCTCAACCAGAAACAGTCTTGAGAAATTATTTTCCTTCATATCTTCATAGACTTAGACCACAATGTCCCCAGCCACTGAAACAGGAGGTAAAATCTTTTACATTAATTGAAGCACATTAGTTTTTATTATGTATTCTTTCCTCTAAATTTCTATATGTTTCTTGGGAACTGCTACACCATGTGATAAAGCACAAAACAGATCAAACCTTCATATGTATTAGTGTAAAATTTTAATTCTGCTTTCCATACATCCAGTATAAATGTATTACAACATTTAATGTAACTTAATTAATTAATTAAAAATATGTCATGTAAAATGTTGATAAAAAAGTTATTCCTATAACAAATTATGCTTTTTTTTTCCTAGTTTTCCAATTTAATATTTGAGGCATGAATGTTATCAGTATATAGTATCAGTATAAGTATATCATTCATTTTTTTATAATTTTTTAATGGTTTACTATGTTTATGTTTGTGTGTGTATATATATAATGAATTATATGATGCAGCACATAATTGTGCTGGTGCATAAGTGACGGAACTTGGTGCATTAAAGATGTTAGCAGATGTGCTGATTTATCATTTTTTTATTGTCAAGAAGCACATTCTTAACGTGAATCACACTCTCCAGTCTGTAGACCCATTTTTAATGACATTTCTGCTTTTCCTACATCATTATAACAATTAACTTTAGTGGAATAAAGAAAGTGCAGTACTTAAGAGCAAACAGGTTGGGACAGAGGTGAGAGAGAGAATGTAATATGTGTAGGATGAAATCCCCATTCAAATGATTTAGTTTGGGCTTAGCTATTTTTTTAGTTTATGTAGCTTTATTTTGATTGGTTAATATTAAGTTTTGATTTATAAATTTCAAAATATTTTTGGCTGAAGTATTAGGTAAGTATCTGCTTCGTTAGCATTATGTAAGAATTATACAGCAGCAATTAATTTTGAAATAAGGCAGAAGTTTGTTATAATCCATTACTATTTTTAGGATAGTAAAGGGAAATACATTAATTAAAAAGGAGAGTTACGGCCCTAGCGCAAATTAAAATTTTTTATTTATGTGTTTTTATCTTACATATATGTACACTATTAGAGGATGGATATCTTATTACAAAAAAGCACTTATTTGCCTTAAGATAAATGCTTGCATGATAAAATTTCTGGGACAAAATTGTATATCTTGTATGTAATGTCATATTAACATTGCATACAAGAAAAATCATCATAATCTCATGGAACCTGCCAAGATAGCCACAAAAAGTAGAATCTGTAAAAAATGTCAGTGTATGTAAAAATACAGGCCTTGATTTTTGAAAAATAGCAAAGTTATGTATAATTTATTTATTCAAAATGTTTTATTTTTAAGTTTCTAAAAGTACAGTAGAAGACCAGAAATCCACAATGTTTGGGACCAGAGGTTGTGCAGATTTCAGGGCAGAAAAGATAAATCGTAATATTTAAACTAAAAGTGCAGAATAAATAAGGGCATTAAGAACATATACAACAAAGACATATGAAAATATGTCTTTATTGCTTATGTTCAGGGACATTTATAAAGCATATTTTTTTAACATGTTTTAAACATTTTTCTGATAGAGGCTTGTTTATAGATTTTGACTATTTGTTTTATTTTCAAGCAATTTAGAAATTGAAGTTTGATTTATCATGTATTTCCTTTCATCTTAGAGAACTAATTTTAAACTTTTTGTTTCTATTCTGTAGATATTATCTAGCCTTGTTGACTGCCTAGAAAAGGATCCTCTGAGTTACAGCATTTGGAGGCAACTTTATACAAAGCATTTTGTTCAGTCCAAGTGAGCCAATAAGTTTCCCTCCCCCATCCTAAAAAAAGTGGAAAGAAAGAGTGTATTGTTCATTTCAGATTTTAACTAATAGTTTTGCAGAAATTAAATTGCATGTAATTTAAGAAAAAAAATGAAATTCATGCAAATTAAATTTTGAATTACATTCAGTATTTAATTACCATATTTAATCATGTTATATTTTCTCTTTTTACTTCCTTGTATGAAGTAAAGGAAGTATTATAATCACAAAAATTCCACCCAAAATGAATTATAAAACTGATTTAAAATGAATTCTAAAGAGAATTTTTCGTGGTGTCTGTGTGTACTATGTATCTGTCATAATTCAAAAACGAGTAGCCTCAGAATGTTGAAATTTTGTATATAGTGCTGCTAAAATATGTAGTTGGGCAGCTCCCTTTTTGGTTGCAATCGGCTGCCCCAAAAGTATATAAATATATACGTACTTTATTACTCGGCTCAGTGAGCTCAGATTTTTATTTGTCAGTAAATTGCACATTTTTTACTTTAAAAATTATTGAATTATGTTTTTCTTATCTTCCAGTTAAGGTTTTTATGCCTTAGTTAATCTGCATGCAGTAGTTGTAGAATTATCAACAATTTAAAAGTTGTTTAAGTGCAGCTAAGCCTAATTTTTCTTACCATAGCAGCCATATTTGTTAATATTTGAAACTTAGCAGAATACTGAATTAAGTCTTTCTGCACCTTCAGTGTCTTTTTGCTGCGTGGGACCAAAAGGAAACTTTTAGTTTTGTGCACCGAAAAATCTGCCTTCTTACTCGCTGCCCAAATTGCTTGTTTTTGCATAGAAACTGTAATTTTAATTGTAAAAATTGTTTTTTTAATTGTTTTAACTGTATTTGGTGTTTTATGTTTTTATATATTGTTGCCTTGCTGTGAAGTGAGAACTGAATTAACTCAATAAGAAATATATCTCTAATGAAATTCGAGGAAATAAATTTAAATCAAATGCAGCAAAAAATGCATATAATTTAATATTGCATACAAGGAAGTCTTGTGGTGTACACGTCAGACTTTTCATACTAATTTTACCACTTGAAAATCAGGAGGGCGAAAATATGCAGTGTATACTATATCTGAAGAGACTGCTTAAATGATAAACATAACACATTAAAAGTACACATTAAGATACACTAAAATTATTATATTATGTTTTTGAAAGAACTTATCAATTTCAATAATATTTCTTTTGCTTACAAAATAATTTTCTATTTGTAAATACATTTTTTTCTATTTGTAAATACAATCTATTTTACATTGTTTACTTTAAATCCTATGCTGAAAAAAACTAGGGAAAATATTACGAGGAAGAGTAGTATGGTAGTAAATGTGGTATTTAATATGGTTATTTAGTTTAGCAAATGAAAAGTTGCAATACATGATTCTTATTATATCATGAGCTGTATTTATTATTATTATGAGTATTTCCTACATCTCCCAAAAAAGGAGGAAAACATGTTTAAAAAGTATTGAATAATAATTTTAGCGATAGGAAATTTTTTCCTGTAATATGTTCTTGAGTTGCAATTTTGAAATTGATTTAGCAGTTATGGAAAGAAACTATCATCAATGTATACAGAGGTTGTTTACACATTTCTGTAACGATTTTGATTCTGTCCATGAATCTAAATATAAATTTTAAAATACAAATATGACTGGCATCAAATTGGAATAAGGTTTTAATTATGGCTTGCAACATTAAAAATATTCTTTTTTTTTTTTTTTTTTTTTTTTTTTTTATGTTGCTGAAAAATAAACAATGGATCAAAGGCTACATTTTTTCACTGTTCAAAGAGAAGTTCTCTTATTTAGTTATTAAAAAAAGATGTGAAAAGCATGGTTTTGATATTTCTTTTTAGAAAAATAAGTGATATAATTAATAGGAAAGGAAAGAAACGTCAAATTTAACATCTGACTGGGAAAAAGGCAAAAAATGCATACCCAACAAAGGTAAGTACAGCTCTTATTAAATCTAAAGTCACTTCTCATGTTTTAAAAGGAAAATCCAGCCCCCACCCTCAAAGAGCTGTTGCAAAATCTTTAAATATCTCTGTAGGAACTTTGAACAAAATTATAAAATCTGATTTAAAGCTAATCAAAACCAAGCAAAAAAAAAAAAAAAAATATGTTCATCCCCTAATGCTGAAACAATGTTTCTCAGCATAAGACTGTGTGCTATGAAAATTATTTGGCAGGTGAAAAATAGAAATGTATGGTTACAGTAGATGAATGAGGCTTGTGTGTACTTCTCTGATTGCAATAAGAAAAGATTTACTACCAAAAAAGATTTAATATGTTGGTTCCGAAAAAACAAGGAGAGTTTTTCTAAAGGTTTTATGGTTATTACTGGATTCTCCTATAAATAATGTCAAAATTAATTTGGATTACTACTAGAAATATGTTGCAATGCCTATTTTAAAAGATGAAATTCCATCTCTTTATCCGAACAATCTTCATCGTAATAAATTCCATCAGGGATAAGGCTCCAAGCTATACCTCTAAATCTACTGCTCTATTTTTTGAAAAAATGAGAAATGAAATTGGAATTGAAGCTATTGAAGATTGTGAAGGAGGAATGGAATAAAATCAACCTTGATGTTTAAAGAAAATGACTTTTATCTTGGAAATCAAGATATAATAGTTCAACAAAAGGGGTATCAGACTGAGCATATTAGAAAATGAAATTCTAAGGTTTGTTTTTATATAAATCTTTGCAAAACGTTACAAAAATGTGTGTACACTCTCTGTATATTGTAATGTTTTTTCAATATGCTGTACATTAAAAATGTTTATATTCATATTTTTATAATATGTGGAGTTTTTATGTGGTATATGCAATTAACTGTTAATAACTATGAAATTTTTTAGCATTAGTACTCTGTTCTATGTGCAATCCAAAGAACAGAAAAAGTTAGTTCTTCCTATAGGTAGTTCCTATATAATACAAATCCATTATTTTCTCAGAAAAATTACCTGCAAAGATCATGAGATGCGAAGTTCTCTCAAAGGATATGTTTTTTCTCTAACCCTGTGACTAGTCAATGGGATATCCTTTGTAATGTTTTTAAGAAAGTACACATACATACATCTTGAAATATGTCTGAGGAAGTAATGCATTAAAAGTACATAAATCTAAGTATAAATTACCAGGGGCATTTTGATATTAAAATCAAGAAAATACTTCTTTCTTATGGCAGTTTTGGGAAAATTGGAGTTTGTTACAAAAACCTGGACCAGTTGATGATAGTTCAAAGCCTTATCTTAAATTGTGTTTGTATGAGTTTAGGTATTAAGTTTTCAAATAATAATTGTAATTAATCATTTTTAAAGTATTTAAGTTCATTTGTGCATTTTCATAAAAGTATTCTGTTTTTGTGAAAGAATACTTATTTGTTAAATCATTTTAAAATTTAATATTTGTTAAATTAATGTTGTAGTTTCTTATTATAGATAACTTCTTGCATGTGTTTGTTATATATTTCAGATTGCTTATATCGCATTTAAATGAGGAATGGGAAAAGCTGCCTTCTAAAGTTTTGTCAAAGTCTCTGCTTGATACATTATCAGTTTTTCAAGTTACAAATGAAGAATTTGTAGCTAGTGGCAAAAAAGATTCAGATGTAGAAGAATGTATTTTAATTAATAAAGTATGTTCTAACTCAGTTTATTTTAATGTTTAATTTAGCATGTTTGTAAATGTTTTAATTATTTTTTTATGGTTAAAGCTTATCAAGACTTTTTTTTTTTTCTTATTTTTAGTCATTAATTGTAAGATTCATTAGATTTTTGTAGCCGTGAGAATGTTGCTTCTTTGAACTTTATATAAAATATAGTGAACAAATTCAAATAGATGTTTGATATATACTAAGGTATCAAAATTAAAAATGAAGATTTGATTTTATAGGCTTTATGTATCTGGTTGAAATGAAAGTTTTCTACCAAAAAATGTTCTTAATCAAGATAGAGAAAAAAACATAAAAAAGCAGGCAGTATCACCACCCAAATCTATGATTTTCATGATGATGAAATCTATGATTTGGTAGTTTTTCAAATTCTTCGGCCTAGAAACTACTTGGTGGCCATGAGTCCAAAAGCAGATCATCCTCATTTCAGATGTTCTTTGCAGAATGGAAGATAGCTCCAGATGTAGCTGCTGGTGTGAAAAAAGGTAGAAGTTTGAAAGAATGATGTCTGTGCTATATGGTGGGTGAGGCAAAAGATCCCATTCGAGTCCACACATAGTCCAGCACAATGCAGACACATGTGGTCTTGCGTTATCTTAATGGGAACACTAAATTTTTGTTCAGAACTCAGTTCAACATTTTTCCTTAATAGCAGCATTAACACGGACTGGCATCTCACTGTACGTTTTACTGTCAATGGTACCTTTTTCCAGATACTCCTTGTGGGTAATACTAGGGCAATCCCACCAGATACAAAGCACAATCTATTTGTTAGCCAAATTGCACTTTGTGATGCTGCTAATGGGCTCACCGTGTGCAGACCAACCCCCTTTTTGGCTTGTGTTGTTGAAATAAATGCACTTTTTCATCACAAGTAATGAGCCACTCTAGAATTTTGTCCTTGTGTTGATATTTGAGCATATAGATTAATGGACATGACACTAATGTTTAACTCCTTAGCAAGCTCTCGAGACACGTGATTTGGTCACATTCTGTAGCTGACCTTTTTGCAACAGAACTGGAAGTAATTGATGGTTGTAATCTGGTAACCTGATAGTTCCATTTCATACACCTTAATGATAACGATATTTTTTTACAAATTTCACAACACGGTTTTCTGAAGCAAGTCTTACTTTCAAATGCCAAAAATCGTTTGACAAAATATGATTAAACACACCAGCGTGAATTGTTTGCGCAGACAATACGTGCGGTGGTGGGACACTTCCGTTAAAACCCAATAATTTGTATTCTCAATGTATATTATAAGCTAATTTGTTTCTGTTGGTTTTAATTTTTAACTTCAATGGGAAACAAACTTTTCATATTGAAATATAACTACAGCAATGTTGTTGTGTACATAATTGTTTGATTGCGTTATAAAAAATAACAAGTGAATTATTTTTCTGATTTAAGAAAATCTTAGTTTTCTTTAATTCTGAATTATTATTTTAATGCTTTAATTTTGAGAAAAAACAGATGCTTCTAAGAATATTATTTATTTTCCTTCTATTGTGATGAGAATTCGGGAAGGGAGGCGATTTTGCTAAGTCATGATTTTCACAGGTTCTTTTCATCATTTAGAATGTTCTAGAAAAAATTTCTTTTGTGCAATTGACCTTTTGGACAGGATGTATGTGATGGAAAGGTCAGAGGTTGCCACTTCACCTTCGCTGTAAGCCATCTTGTTTGGTGATCGGGGTGTCCAGTCGTTGGTTAAGTGAAGAGGGGCGCACATATGTGATTACCCTAGTTCTGCCATTCAGGGGAAGAAACGCAAATTTAGTCCCAAATAGGGGGCGATAAATGAATGGATTATGGGAGCCCGTTTTTGTGAAGGAGACGAAGAAAATTTGAGTTTGAATCACTTTTTGACTGACGCTCATATTCTAAACTTGTGGGTGTTGTGAAGCGAGAAAAGAAAGACAGATGTAATTCGCAGTTTAGCCGTGCTTCTGGTGGGGAGCGGCAAATATGCTCCCCGGCCACGTGTTTCACAAAAATGTGAGATTGATAGCTAAGCAAAAACTTCTGAAAATGAGGGATTTGAATTGTGAACTGTCGTCTTGTATTTTTCCATTTGGATCTGGTTGAATTGGACTTTTGTTGCTTGCAGTCAACTGTAAAAAAAAAAAAAAAGGAGAGCAGGGATCTGCTGTATGCTCTCTCCAGCTTTTGTGAATTGAATTTCAATAACTGATTGAACTGTGTGCAGATCGTGGGCCAAGCCGGCTGCCTAGCTGCTGCAGATATTCTTACTGGAATGGACCAGGACTGCTTCTTATGGCACTCCATTCTATTGGCTCACCTTGCTTTCAAATCTTCCGATTTTCCTTGGATGGTGTAGATGACTTTCCCTGAATGTGATACCATTTATTGCCGTACCGTTCAAGTCCCTGTGGTGTGGATTTGCCTGGTGTTGTAATGATAGAATTAAGATAAAGTTCTCCTCCACTTCAAGATGCCTACTTAAAGATAAGTTTTTTCTGGGTTTTCATTTGTTCTTATGAACTTTAAAGAAATTCCAGAACTTACTTTAGGACTTTATACTTCATATTGAATCTCTAAATTAATTCTAAATGGCTGATAATTGTCTCCCTTTCCCTGACTTTCTTTTTACAGAGACTAAAATGGAAAATCTTAATAAGTTAATTGTGGTATAAAAATATAGTTTGTTTTTGTGAAATTACCTTTAGTATAGATGTTGAATTTCAGAGATGTACCTGAAGAAAGTAATGTGTTTTTGACCATCCTCGGATTTACTGCAGTAGTTCTGGTTAAAGTTAAATTAAATGGGCCATAAAGTGAATAATGAGACTAATTTCATTAAGTTAATTGAAAAGAAAATGAAATTTGTAAATCCTTAATTTAAATGTATAAATGATATAAATTGATTAGTTCACATGTGTTACTGAAATAAGGAATAGAATATTTGATTACCTAGGATGTGAATTTTAATTAAAAAATGTTGAGGAATCTGAATAAACTTGTATTTTAATCGGGAAACCTATTATTATTGTTTTCTTTATATCTATTTATGTGTTTCCTTTATATTTTGTATTTACCTCTTGTTTATCCGATCCTCTCACGGTACGGTCATCGATGTTTGTATAACACAATGCAAATTATTACTACTTGTACGATCACTAAAAATGTTGAAATTAACTGGCCTTAAGAGTTTACTTTCAGTTTGGTACAGTCAAAAGTCGTTAATTCGGAATGATCTATATTCCGGACCTCAAAGCTACAAACTTTCTGCGCATGCTTCAACGCATAATGCGTTCACGCATGCGCATAGGCGTTTACGTATGCGCGTAATATTTTTATGCATGCGCATTTAATCGGTATAAGCTAAGCTAAAATTATCTATTTCAGTTAATGTTGAAGATTGCGTTGTTCCTTAATCTTTGAATTGGATCCGACTTATTATTTTTTGCAGACTGTTACAGCAATTTTATAAAAGTAAGCTTGAACTTTCGATTATGTCAAATAGAATTTCCGATGCTGAAGCTACCAAAGGATCTACAAAGTGAATGTATGTTTCGATGTCCATCAAACAAAAAATGGAATTGCTGCAAAAAATGGATAAAGGCATATCCTTTGTTTCTCTAACCATTCCGAAATCTGTTTATCAATTTCACGCTGCTCTGCGGGGGGGGGGGGCGTCGCGGCACGCAATGAACTGGAAGTTGTTCTGTCAGCACTATCCTTATCTTCAGGGCAGATGTTTTTATTTTATTCAGCTTATAATTCCTTGCTAAATGTAGTATTTCATCTCGATATATTCCGTCTTTGATAATATTTAAATCAAATTCCTTGTCATTATAAATATCACAAGTACACATCAAATAGTTTTCTGGTTGCAATTTTCTAGTTTCGACTATGCGTAATGTATGCTTTACACATGCGCGCGTTGAAAGAAATGGTTAATAAAGTAAACAAATAAATATTAAGCCTTTTTTTTTTTTTTTTTTTTTTTTTTTTTTTTTTTTTGTAAATTTTGATACCCTTTAGATCATAATTGCTCTTTATTTCATAATTTACGGTTTCATATTTTTAATTTTATAATTTCTGCATGCCATCTTACCAGATTTAAACTGATGATCTATAATCCGGAAAAATCGATAATCCGGAATCGAAAAAATCGAAGTCCTGACGAGTCCAGATTAAAGACTTTTGACTGTATTTAGTTAGTTATGGTTTCACCTGTCTGTTTCTGTATCGGTATTTATACCTTCAGATACCGATATGGAAACAAAACACTGTTAGATTCATATAAGTATGTGGCAAAACAGCAGCATATATTTGCTTGAGTATATCATCCATTATTGTTGGGTGAATATTGCATTCGATTTAACATTGCATAGAAGGATGACATTCTGTGGGATACCGGTACCAGTGATAATGTTACTGGTAGTGTAGGCAACTACTCTAATAGTAGAGTGACTGTGAATAAGAAATGCTAAAATACAGAAACATGTATTTTGACTGATAATAAAACTTTTATCTGAGTATGTGTTAAGTACTGTTTTCATTTTAATTACATTCACATCTCGAAAATGAAACAAATATTGTGGATGGTAGACAAGCTTTCCATGGCTTATTCTAGAGACTTTTGTTTTTTAAATAAGAGGTAAAAATTAAGGGTGCAGCTTATACATGCATGAATAGGGTATTTGATTCGTAAAGCTATTTGGTCATCTGGACAGTTTTATAGTTTTTTTACAATAAATGCAAATTCGATGGTTCAAAATAAAAAAAAAATTTCATTGAATCATACAAGCACCTCTTTATTCTGTGACCTTTTTGCCATCTCTCATGCAGCCAGAAAATTCCCTTTTTAAAAATGTCATTAGGTTTTTTTCATAAAAAAGTTATCAAGGCATTTGACAATCTCCAAAGAAATGTACTGCAGGCTGTTTAGAGAATTTTGAAGTGATCTGAAAGGATAAAAAGCCGAGAAGACAAAGTCTGGTGTAAATGGTAGGTAACACAATATATATCAGCCCCCTACTGAATGAGTTTCATCTGACCTTCATCAAAATGTGGGGCCTAGCATTGTCATGATGGAAGACAACACCTTGAAGATTAGTCATTTCTGGCCACTTTGCTTCGATTTCGGCATTTAACTTTGCCTTTTTGGGAACAGTATTTTTGCAAACTTATTGTCTGATTTGGTGACAACAGTTCATAAAGTACAGTTCCTTTGTAGTTCTACCATATGCAAAGCATTATTTTTTGGGAATGCAGCCCCCACCTTCTCAACATTACTAAAGAACATTTTTTTTTTCCCTTTTCTTGTAATATTATTATATAGTATTCACTTCTCATTTCCAGTAATGAGATGTTTCAAAGAAGAAGGTTCTTCTATATTTCTTTTTCAGAAAGGGATCATGTGCCAAAACTCTAGAAAGCATATTATGCTCTGTTAAAGTATGGGGTACCCACATGTCGTAGTAGCTTATGTACCTAATCTTCTTCAAATGATAATTTGCTCTTCTTATTGTAATATTTATTCTGTCTGATAGTTCCTGAACTACATAACTTGGATTTTCAGCTTATTAGATCCTTTGTTAGCAGAGAATGTTTTTTCAGAGCAGGCATTATCTTCCAAGCTGAAATTTCTACACTTGAGCATCTCAAACAATTATCAAACTTTGTCATCAGGAAAAGCACTTTATCCATGTATAGCAAAAAATTTACAAGCAATCTGACTAGCATTTTTTTTTTTTTTTTTTTTTTTTTTTTTTTTTTTTTTTTTTCCTTTTTAAAAAATAAAAGAGCATAGTATGATGAAAATGATTTTGGAATCGCCAATCATAGCGCTGCATTGAAACAAAATGTATTCTGTGGCACATACTAGAATTATGCAGCATAAACAGAAAAGACAGCGTTTAAACATCCACTTCAATCTATGTTACTTCATGGCATGAGTAACAAAAAAAATTAGAAGAAAATGCAGTTTGATTTGAGAAACAGAACTTTTTGGATGATCCATTAGACTGCGTCAACAGTATAATAAATAATGCACCACGAAAAAATAAGAATTTATCTTTTTTAAACTTTTTATAAAAGGATTCAAAAAGCACTCTGCACTATTTATTTTTTAATGAAAGCCATTTACTTTACAATTTATATTTATAGTGAACTTAGTGTGGGGGGAAAGAGGTTGTAAAAAACTTTAATTTAAACTTATCCATAATTATGTTCTTTTCCTATTACATTTATAAGTTAATAACAATAATAAAATATAGTTCTTCACCCCTACTGTTTTTTACAATACCCATAGATTCCCATAGCCTTTCTAGACAGATGTGTATTATGCATTTTAAATAATTAAAATGCACAATTGTACAGGTGTGTATTTTAAATAATTAAAATACACACCTGTAGTAAACCTGTTCGTTTTCCAAAAAAAATGAAATTCTAGCCTTATTTCAAACTGTGAATTGTGTTTTGTTCCCTATTGTTTTAAAGCAGTGCTAAATTTATATTTATTTTTATGGAATGAATTTTTAAAGAAGTAGTTTTCTTTGTGTACATAAACATGTTTGCTTTTTGAAAATGATAAATATTTTTCATTATAGGAACTGCTTACGAAGCTGAATTCTCGAGTATTTTCATGGTTTCGTGTTGTCTTGCTGTTCATCTTTATGTTCTCGTTATTACTTATATATGATATTATGATTCACGATTCTTTCATAGGTATGTAATTCAGTTCTTTTTTTATCTCCATTTTTTAAATTTCACAAAGATAAATTTAATAAATTATGGATCAAGTAAAAAAAAGAAAGGTGTCTGCTATGAACATAGTCAGCTAAGGATCTTATTCTGATACTGCTGAGTCTGTCAACAAAATCATTTTTAATAAATGAAATCTACTACAGTACAAAGTCCGTAATCCCGACATCCATTATCCGGAACTCAAAGCCACAAACTTACGCATGCGTGTTTGATGCGAGCGTCAGCTATGCATGTGCGTAAAGTTAGTAAAGCATTTACACATGCGTGCTTCCGATAGTGAAGAAAGTGACAGAGAGGTTATTGAAAACGAAAACATTTCGATTGACAAGTTAGTCGGTATTCTCGACACAGCAATTACAGAATTTGAACAGTGGAACTTTGTAACTGAACAAGAAATTATGTCTGTTTATAGAAGAGAGAATTAAAGAGAAAGTATTAGCACAAAAAACGAAGCAACTTAAACAACTTACATTGAAAGAAATGTTTAATAAAGTAAACAAATAAATAAAGCTTTTTTTTTTTTTTTTTTTTTTTTTTTTTTTTTTGTAAATTTTGATACTCTTTAGATCATAATTGCTCTTAATTTCATAAATTGCTGTTTCATATTTTTAATTGTACAATTTCTGCATGCCATCTTACCAGATTTAAATTGATGATTTATAATCCGGAATCGCCAAAGTCCCGACGAGTGCGGATTACGGACTTTGTACTGTAGCTGCTTGATTACAAAGTTCATAGAACCATGTGTAAGAAACAACATAAGATGAATTAATTTTTTTCACAATAATTCTTCTGTATGAAAGTGCATTTTCCTCAGCATTTTCTGTAGAGTACTTTATTCATAGAGAAAAAAATTTTATCATGCTCAAATTCAGTAATCAATACTATTCATGGTATCATCATATGCAAAGCATATCTTGTAAAGGTCTTGCTTTAGATTTTCAAACATACAAGCAGAGGAGAAAGAAAAAAAAATCACCCATATCAAAATCCAGAAAATAGGAATGTGAAGTAATATTTGAAATCCAACAGCAAATGTAACAGCATTTTCCTTAGGAGAGCTATGTGAGTTTCCTTAAACAGCTGTTTTCCTTATTTATTCTTAATTTCTTTGCACAACATTGTGTGATACTTCTATGATTGTTTTCACAGTGCTGAAGGCAATCAATCATTAATTGGTGTTTCAGAAGTATTGGCCGTAACTTTGTTTTTACTTACAGGAAAAGAGGCATGTTTTCAGATCATGCTGTATAATGTAGATACTGTCAGGATCAGAGTAGAGTACTTATATTTCGTGCATGGTCACATATCTATATTAAAACTCCTCTGAACTCTGCTGAAATATCGTCAAAATTGTTCTGAAATTCTGAAAAAAAGATAAATTTTCTGTTCTTCTGTTTATCCTCATACAATCAACATGTTCCTCTGTCTGTGGGTCCCCACTGGGCTGAGACTTTTCTCTTCTTGAGATGTTTTCTTTAAATGAATTTTGTGTTACCAAATTAAATATCTAAATTCTTTTTTTATATGCCTAATAGTCATTCATCTATCTGACATGATGACTGGTTCCACTCAGGACAGCGTTTTCTTTGTGATTGGTGTAGATATAACACTAGAGTGCAAATCATAAGACATTCTGCCTCTGCAAAATTCTAATGCCTCTTTAGCAAGCAAAGAATATTCTGTGACACTCTCTGCTAATGTCTTGCACACATCTTTACAAAGCTATTGTTAGCATGTGCTTCAAACATTAACAGTTATTGCAACTTCAGTTTTTCTTTGGTTGAGCTGACATGATTCAAAATTTTCATATTTTAAAAATAAATAAATATTAAGCAAAAATTTCAAATTTCTTATTTTATTCTTTCATATCTCCTGGTTCATATTAGGGATTCCACATATGTGTGCCTCTCTGTCTGTTTATAAGTGTGCAACCAGAAATGAATACATTTTCTAAGCTCAAAAAGGAATTATGTTTCAAATTGATCAAGAAATTTTCTACAATGCTCAGTTCTTGAAAATTTTCAGCCTTATGTCCCATTTCCATCATGACAAGCCTTCCCCAAAAATTTCTTTATAATACTACCCCAAACTTTTGTTGTAACTGTCATCACATCCATTATTTTTAATGAAATTTAAATATTAAAAAGATGTTAAGCACTGTTCTTCTTCCCAAATTGAACATACAATTCGATGCTTTTTTTTTCTTTCATTCATTTAATTATGATATTTTCCTGCCATATTTGTCTTAAAATATTGATGCGAAATATAACATTATGAAATCTTTTAAAAAAAATTAAAAATTCTGTTTCTTGACATTTGAGAGGAAGTACATATGAACTATGCTCATAATGTTTGCACATGTCATGTTTTGACTTAAAATTTTTGTGTGAAAGTTCAATATTCGATTTGAAGAATTCAATCATTATAGGCATCCTGTTTTCTTTTGATATGTAATGGAAATTTTCAAATAGATGTGCCTAGTGTTGCATGTTTTTGGGATAGAAATTTAGTAATCATTCCAAAAGTTCAAATTCTAGTAAATTTTTATTCTTAGTATTTCTTCTGGAGTTTCATATTATAACAACAGTTTTTGTGCTTGCACAGACTGTTCATATGATTTTAGTAAATAGCAGAAAATATGATTTAACTAATGCATTGATAATATATACTTTGATAAATTATTTTATTTGTTTATGATAGTTCAAATAGTATCTCATAAAAAATTCTTTGATAGTATGGTAAGAATTGAATAAATTATTTTCACTAAGTAAAGAAGTATTTCTTTTCAAATTAATTCTTCAAGGATTAATTTTCTTTTATGAACTGAAGTCCTATTGTAGTTTTCAGCATGTGTATCTAATCACAAGTATTTAGTTCGTAATATGTGAACCAATTAGTAATCATGAAGATTTAGAAAATGTTAAATTATTATATAATCAAATAAATTACTGATTAGGTAGTTAAATTTAATTTATCCGTAGTTCAAAGGGACAAATTGCTCAGAAGGACTATTAATTTCGATTTGGCATTTTGCGTTGATTCACTACAAGCGTTGTTTCACTTTTCAAATTTCTGCCACCAAATATTATTGCCCTGTATTATATTTAAAGAAATTAAATAATGAAGAATCTGCATAAATGTATGTATATTTCTCACATACCTTGTGATAAAACAATGGTACCTAGAGCTATAATAACGTAATCCTCCTGTGAATATGGGCATCTGGAAGACAAATTTGGAATTTGTTTTATTATGGATTTCATATTTTGTAAAACTTTAACTAATTTTTGATTAACAAACCCAAGGATTTCAAAGCGAGCAATGGCAACATTGTATAGAAAAAACATTTTTATCTCCAGTGCACGAGACTGTGTATCGGAAATTCTAAAGATATGCTCATTTTAAAATTATTTTGCGATATTGCTCTTAAGTGCGAAGACCATGATATTTAATTAATAAATGTAACGCACAAAATGTTAAAAAAAAAGTACCCCTTCGAACGTAATTTAAAATCTGAAACCTTTCAGATTTTTTTGTTATTAAAATGTTAAATTATTGATAAAATTAAAGAAATTTCACAAGTTATTGATTAATAAACATGTATGATGGGTCAAAACATTTTTGATGTTTCTTTGTTTTAAAGCAGCACCGATAAGCCATCATGGACATTTGAAATTTACATGCTAACGATTAAGTTTGTCAGTTTTAGTGGTTAAGGCTGATGGCCATTATAAAAAAAAGAATTTTTTTTTTTTTCATGTGTGTATATTCTGTATAACTCAGTCGCTTTTGCAAAGGAGTTAGACTGAAGTTCAGCATTCATTGATGTTTTAGTTAAGGAAAAATTATTTTCACCCAAACTAGTTTTATTTTATCTTTAAAAAAAAAAAAAAAAAAAAAAAAAAACTTAAAAGATTACTTTCTTGTTTACTTACCAGATAGTACAGTCAAAAGTCGTTAATCCGGACTCATCGGGACTTCGGCGATTCCGGATTATAGATCATCAGTTTAAATCTGGTAAAATGGCATGCAGAAATTATAAAATTAAAAATATGAAACCGTAATTTACGAAATAAAGAACAATTATGATCTAAGGGGTATCAAAATTTACAAAAAAAAAGCTTAATATTATTTGTTTACTTTATTAAACATTTCTTTCAGTGTAAGTTGTTTAAGTTCTTTTGTTTTTTATGTGATAATACATTCTCTTTAATTCCATAAACAGACATAATTTCTTGTTCAGTTACAAAGTTCTGCTGTTCAAGTCCTATAATTGCTGTGTCGAGAATACCAACTAATTTGTCAATCGAAATTTTTTCGTTTTCAATAACCTCTGTCACTTTCTTCGCTATCGGAAGCGAATTATAATGACGAGGCATTTGATTTAAATCATATCAAAGACGGAGTACATCGAGAGGAAATACCACATTTAGTAAGCAGTTATAAGCCAAATAAAATAAAAACATCTGCCCTTAAGATAAGGATAGTGCTGACAGATCAACTTCCAATTCATTGCGCTCCGCAGCATTAAAGATAAACAAAGTTTAGATAAACAAAGGATATGCCTTTATCCACTTTTTGTTTAATGGACTCCGAAAGATACTTTTGCTTTGTATATCCTTTACATATTAGTAAATATATATCGGAAATTCTTTTTGAAATAATCGAAAGTTCAAGCTTACTTTTATAAAATTGCTCTAACAGTCTGCAAAAAGTAATAAACCGGATCCAATTCGAAGATTAAGGAACAACGCAATCTGCAACATTAACTGAAATAGATAATTAGATAATTTGAGCTTAGCTTATCCCGTCCGTTATACATTAAACGTGCATTCGTAAACGTATTTTGCGCACGCGCACACGCAAATTCGCAGCCGTAAAGGTCTTACGCGCATGCATCAACACGACGCATCCGTAGAAAGTGTGTAGCTTTGAGGTCCGGATTATGGGTGTCCGAATTAATGACTTTTGACTGTATTTACTTGTTTAAGCTGTATATAATAAACCTTTTTCTCATTGATATTATGGCTTTATACTAAATATTTGCATGTATTCATATATTTATATATATTTATTAGATTCTTATACTGGAAAATTAATGAAAGATTCAGGGCTGCTAGTAATTTGTACACAAGCAGGAGAAAAACTTGGCTATTATTATGGCAGAGCATATAAGTAAGAAAAATCACTTATTCTATTTACAAATTTTTATAACTAGAATTAGAAATCTAAATAAAATTTATTGAAAGATAGTATGCTATGTGGGAAAAAATATTTCACACACATTTATTTATATTTTAGTCAGATATGGAAAGTTCTCGCTTTCTTTTTTATATTTATCAAGTTTTGCTACATTTTCTAAAAGTTCATATTTAGTATATTAGTAGTAATATCTTCTAGAATAATGTTACTGTGTAAGTTTATGTTTAGTATGTTGTACATGTATAACTTTGTTTTTCTTATGCAGTATAATATCTGTTCTTGAGTGTCATAAAGCTATTGTGCTTCTAGGTTTAGTTTTCCTTACATTTATATAAAAAAACCATTTAAGGCATAATTAAATTTGCTAGACATAGACCTGCAAGCTTTCTCTAAATTAAAAAGACATTAAACATTTTTCTGAGATATTTAAACCTTTTATTAGGGACTTCCTAGGAAGCACTAAATTAAAAAAAAAAAAAAAAAAAAAAAATCTTGTATAAGTTAATTTGTGTAGACATACCTTACAAACCACAACAACTGAGAATACGTTGCCACATTATTTGATTTCGTAGGTTGAAATTAAGAAAGTCAATTTTATTTCATCACAACTTGATCGTTGTTATCAATGGCATGTTATTGGTTCTTCTATAAACAGTACTATTAGACAATGAATGTGCTGCAAGATTTTGTTCCCCATTTCCTTATACAATTTTCACCACTTTGAAAGCTCACCCAATTCAGTCAAAGTTTCCCATTCTCATGTGGTTCCCTCCTCCTTCCTGCTGTGCTGTATCTTCTTCTATGAGGTCCTCCTTCCTCTTCTTCTATGTGCTCCTCCTTCCTGCTGTGCGCACTGGTTGCGCGTCTGAAACCACCAATTTTCGAATTTTTTTCTCCTCTTCTTTCTGAAATTTTTGAGTGAAAATCAATTGATTATTGATCTTTTACCTCTAAATAACATAAAATGACTGCAGAACCATACATGTTTTAGGTCTTAGTACTAAATTACTAACTATTAATACTAAATTAGATCAGATGCCTTTTAAAATTTATTTTCAATGAAACAAAATAACTTCCTTTTATTAACATAAACAACTTTAAATTTAAAACTTTATTCATCGCACATTATGATTTCTATCTTAAACAATAAAAAATAGCAATAATTAAACTGCATATATAAAGAAAACCCTCTATATGTATGACATTTGCTTTGTGGTTTCAGGACGCGACCACTGCACCACTAGAGCATTGTGTCACAGTGCTCTAGAGGCTTAGTGGTCGCGCCTTGAAACCACTGCTCTTCACAATGCCGTTTGCTTGCTTCTCAAATAGGAATGTTTATTTTTACCGGGATATAGTTTTGAAACCACAGAGTTATTTTATTACTAAACAATACATGCACATGCCCAGTAAAAAGGTCTTTCATTTCCAGAGATTTTTCTCTGACCTCAAGACACTTGCTCCCCAAGCTAGTATTGTGATTTTATAAATTATTTCATGTGGTTTAAATTTAATGTAAATATTCTTTGCTATAATTAAAAATAGAAATCACGTAAAGTTTTATTTAGATTTAAAATATTTTCTGAATATTTTGGGACTACATACGAATAGAAAAAGTATGAATGGGAAACGAATGATCCGTACCAAAGCCAAAAAGACTAAGCCCCCCCCCATTAACATAAAAACCCACAAATTTCATGTGCCAGATGAAAAACTAAAAAACGCTGAACATATAACAGTGAAATTTAAATCCAGGCAGTGTACATTTTGTAGTACAAAGAAGAAACCTCATAGAAGAAGATACATGTGCAAAACGTGCAATGTGGGTCTATGCATGTACCAAAATGACAAAACATGCTTTGAACAGTGTCACACAAAAAAATTTTTCTTTGAAATTAAAAAAAAAAAAAAAAAAATGAGTCTTTTTTTATCCTTATTTTACTGAGTTTTTTATCCATTTAGCCAAACGTCCTTATTATGTAGGTACTTATATTTTCACTGCTATAGGAAAATTAGATAAATGTTTATTTTTTAATTTTTCTGAAAATAACTTTTTAAAATAATGTAAAAAAATTATATATAATGCAATTCTTACATACATTTTTAAAAAATTCGTAAATTTCGTCATTTATTCGAAACACGCATGGAGAAAGGTAAGTTTTTTTTTTCCTACTACCTCAGTAAGTTTCAAAGTTCTAGATGCGCAGTGGTTTCACAGTGCGACCGCCACCCACAGAACAATGGGCAAGAGTAGTTTTTTTTAATTCATATATTATTTGTCTCTAGGATCATAATATTCAATTTCTAGAGTTTTTAGTTAAAAAAATTATAAAAATACCGCACGTGTCAAAGGGTTAAATGCTAAAACAGAGAAATCATCAATAATCTCCTGATTCAGTTTTTACCTGTATTGAGTCCAGGTTTATCTTATTATAATACATTAGAATTACCATGATATTCCAAAACCCTTATGTTCTGTTAATTTGAGGGATAATATGGTGTGGTAGGATTCAGTCAGTTTGCTATACTTTAACAGAACTACAGTGTGATAAATTTAAAAAAAAAAATTATCTTTCATGTAATTAGCAAAGCATTTTCTGTTAGGTTATTCATTCCAATTTTGGTTTCAGTACTGTATACATGTAATAAAATTGAAAGAAGCGTTTTGCAATAACATATCATGGTAGATAGATGCATAAACCAAAAACTTGCACACATGGTCGAATTCAGTTGTTTCTTTTTTATTCATGGTTGGCATACCTTTTTATTTAATCTAACACAAATCAAATCAATGCTATAGCACTTTGTTCTTGAAGAACATTTTACATCAGATACACTTGAAAAATATGTCTTTTGAAGGCAGCAACATATTGCTAGAGCAGGGTGGAAGAGAGCAAGTTGTTCAGCAAAGACCTTTTATACCAAGGCATGATTATTTTAAACAGAGAACATTTTAGATCACATTGCAAGAATGTTTACATGAAGTAAATTAAATTTCAGACCCATAACAGATTAATATTTAGATGATGGATTGATTTAATGGCATTCCAGGAATAATTGTGCAACAGAGATCAGATGACAGATCACTTTTCAGAATTAGAGGAAGTAAAGATTATATTAGAAAAGTTATTGTTTTGCTATTTTTAGAATAAAGAGGGGAGCATGCTGAAATTTAAAAGAGGAAGGAAAGGGCTGTTGTTTATTTATTATTAGAAAGGTAGATATTTTATATTTTACATGCATATAGGTAGCCTGCACCTGTTATTTTGAAAAACCATTTACTTGAAGCTATAAGGAAAAAAAGACCATATTTGCTCAAGAAATGGTTTTGCTTCAGGATAATGCCTGGCTGCATGTTTCTAAAATGACATTGGCAACATTATCTAAAATCAGTCTGTCAGTGCTGCAGTACTTTGCATTTGACCTGAATTAGTGAGATTTGTGACATGGTATTTTTGAGTATTCTGAATATTGAAAAGGTATTTATGAAAAGAATGTCATAAAACAGTCTGCTTCACGTTTCTAAACTGTCTATAGAACATTGTGAAACATGAAGTTCAGTTTGAAGAATTCGAATTTGAAAAATTAAAAAATGCAAAGCTCATAGAAATATCTGATTCTGTATTCTTAAGAAAATCTGTTCTAACACTTTTCATTCCACTTTTGTGATATGTCATTAATGACAGTAGATATGAATCTATTTTGCATATATGAATAATGTTTTTCTTCTTGCTTATGGTGAAAAATCACAGACTGAAGAATGATTGCAGCATTAAGTAGAATAATGAGTCTCGCCATACTGCTGTAAGAGAGGGGATTGTATTAAAGTCAATATGACTGCAGTTTGAGCCTTCCATTTAAGGCTGAAAAATCACCTTTTCATTTATTATATCACTCATATTATCCTGATTTGTTATAATTAATGATACCATATTGTAATTTATGAACATCCTATGTAACCAGGAATTTATTACCTGTATACTGTCATCTGCATCAAAAATAAAATTCAATCTATTAGTTTGAAGTCACTTGTGAAAATTCTTCATAACTAATAAATTGTCGACACTCTGTAATAGTTGGATACTCGTTCTAATAGCAAGATATCATTTTCAAAATGTTGTTGGGAAATTCCTTATATTTTTTAATTAAATTTGACTGATATTATACCAGTATGATTTGTTTTCATTGAATAAAGCTTCAGGTTTTTGTTTATATATTTAGCTTGACACTTTTTTGTTTGAGTACTACTATATTGCCATCAATTATAAATTAACTGAAGATCTAAAATTGTAAACTGGAATCTGGAGCATTGTATTTTAAAAGCTTATATTTGTGTATATTTAAAATGGAAAAATTTAAATCAAAGTATATATTATATACCTTGGTTTAATTTTTTTTATTTGCAAATGATTAAAATAATAGCCAATAAATTCTAATTCAGAACTCAAATAACAAAAAATCAGCGTTATACCTACAAAATTTTCACAGGACTAGTTTCGATGGTTTTACCGAACCATCATCTTCAGCTGCAAAACCGCAAATGAACAAGATAGGAAATAATGTTTAGATAAGATAAGAAAGCCTGGACAAGAATAAGCAAGTGGCGCCATCTGTTGGCGAAACCAGAACTAAAACATAATTTCTCTAAAAGCCGAAGGCAAATTTGGATTGGAATTAGGATCGTTAACTAGAACAGAAAGATTTTTATGAATGTGAAATGCCTCTAGAAAATCCAGTTCTCCAATGGAAGATGTTTTTTGAATAATTTTGGCAGCAGAAAAATTGAAAGTGTGATTTTCGGACCAACAATGTTGAGCAACAGAAGACTTCTGTGTTTCCTTTTTTCTAACATATGCCTCATGTTCTTTGACGCGAAATTTTAAGGCTCTCTTAGTTTGGCCAATGTAAATTAAACCACACTGGCAAGGAATCCTATAAATACCCCAGGAATTCATATCCGGAATGGGGTCCTTGAGTATATAGAAGTTGGAATTTTATTGATGGGAGAAAAAAAAAAACAACCAGAAAGTTAAATTTCTGCAAAATATGTGCAACTTTATAGCTAATTGATGGAAAGAAGGGAAGGGAATGACAACAGAATTTTTATAATCTCCTAAAATAAGAGTGTGGCTTTTAGTGTGTTGAGATGAGAATTTTTTAACTGCTTGATTAATAATGTTGTGTCTTAGCCAATAAATTGTTTTCAGGCATGGATGATGGTAGTAGCAACTTCTAAAAAGACTTTGAAAGTGATTTTTTGCATGTACATATTTGTTTAGTGTAAAAAGGAAACAATTATAATATACTCCATTTAATTTTTTTTTTTTTTTTTTTTTTTTTTTTTTTTTTTTTTGATTCTGGAATCTTTTGCTTTTATATACTGAAATTAAGAATGTGAACAAAGTAGTTTTTAATATTTTTTGCAGGTTGCTGCAAATGTACTTGCCTGGATTTACTGCATGGACACAAAAAACTTTTGGTCCATATTTTGAATTGTTTTGGATAAAATTTTCAACAGGAATGGTCTACTTGTGGAAGAGCACACTTGTTATCAGAAAGTGGTGTAACCAGAATATACCTTTTCTTTTGGATGTGGTAATGAAACTTTTTTATATATAGATTTTGATAGTAACTACTTTCCTGTCCTTCCTAATTTCAGCTTACAATTTCCTACCAGAATGTGTTTTTAGAATCACGTTTAATGCAAATTAATAAGGGTGAGATTTAAGTTGAAGTTCAACTGACTTCGAAAGAGAGCCTCAGAGTTTCTGACTAGTGCGCGTTTGCCTCTCTCTAAGTTGTTACTACGCTTGGTCGTGTTACAGGCCCTTAATAGCTAGCTTATTCGATATTTAGTGGCCAACTACTTAGAATTTTGATAGCTTTGTCTATATCTTTTTAGTTAAGCATTAGTTACATCTTATTTCTCATTACTTTGAGTTCAAGCCCAAGTTGAGGCTTTGCTGTATACCCTGATAAAGGGGCCAACTGTTTTATTTCTTATTTTGAGAACTAAATGGTAATTAAACCCTTCTTGAGTTTACGTCTCTGTTCCTGAACTAAAGCGATCATCCGCTTAACTGTTCACGAGTTTCCTGCACATTTAGCTGTTAGATAAAAGGGTGGAAGCTCACAACTTGTTTGATTAAATCTTGGGAATATTTCTAATTCTGTCAAAAATGAATCATGTTCTACCTATAAGTAATAGCCATAGAAAGCTGTTTCTTGTCCCATAGTAATTTGGTATTTCCATTTCTTAGAAACTTTAATTTAAATGTTCTTCAAGAAAAATAAGTTTCTGAAATTTAAATATTCTTCTTAATGAATATCTTGCTCCTGTTATTGATGCTTTTTTATTTGTTAAGAATTTCATATCTCTCCCAATCTGAAAATATTTATTTGAATGATCATATGTTGCCTTATTGCAATTTAATTTTATTTAAATCAATCCTTTAATTACCTTTAAAGGATTGATTAATTCATGCATTGCTCATAAGATCCGTATTTCTATGAAATCTTACAAGCTTTCAGGGCAAATAGGAAAATATGTTAACATCACAAAAAGAAGAAGTACTTTTTGCACCTATACTGAATGTATTGCCAGATTAGAAATTACTGTAATATACTCTATCTGCAGATAGTTCATTCTGAGGCTTATCGCAAGATAATAGTTAATGCTATATGGAACAGGATGTTAATGTAATATACGTAATTAGCTATATTTAATTAATAAATTTTGCTGATAAGACATTACTAATAATTTACATATAAGCAAATTTAGAAAAAATTTTATTAACAAACTGTACGATTTGAAAGCGAGAAGTAGTAAGACTTTTCGAAATAAAGCAGATTTTTATCTTTATCAAGCAAGACTGTTGCCATTTGAAAATATGAGGGTGAAAATTAGCGTTTCCAGAGTTTTAATTAATATCTCCGCTAATTAAAGTCATATGAAGATGAGAATGGTCTAAATGGCTTCCTACGAATTTTTGGATTTCTCTCTCAAAACTCAACTCCCCCCTTTCTGGAGAAAAAGATGTGTCACACAAACAAACAGACATGCACAGACTTTAATAGTATAGATTTTAAGTGGTTTTAATTTTAGCAGTCGAAAGCTCAAGAACCTTTGAGGTATAGTAGTGTGAGCCTTCTGTTATAAATCATGCCAGCAATTTTATTCATATTGAATATGAATTAAGTATATAGTAGTGTTCATGCATTCTTTGAGGATATAGTATTGTTCATGCATTCTTTGAGGATATAGTAGTGTTCATGAATCAATGCAAGCATTTTTATTTATAATGATTTAATCACTATTAACTTTGGGGATAGTAATAGAATTTTAATTGCAGTAAAGTGCATACAAAGCCGTTTTAAATTTTAGATTAAGATTTTAGCAATATTTTTGTTGATTAATTGATTATTAACTTCAGCATGACAGTTTTTTACCTAGTCAGTTCTCTTTTTTTTTTTTCAATTAATCTGGCAGTTGTTTATCTGGTGTTTTAGAGATTTCAGTGGAAAATTAATCATCTAGACAAAGTTTAAAGTAAATATTAAGCATGATATTACTATATATGATATTCATAAATAATTTGAATCTTAATTTCTCTCTATACTTAGGTAGTTAATGATCATATGTTAGGAATTTTAGTAAAACTTCACATAATTGAAATCTACCTTAAATGGTGGTGGGAAATCACATGGACTCTCAGTCATGACCAGCAATCCCCCTCCCTGGAAACATTGACTGCATGGGTAAACAGAAAACTGTGAAATCTTTTCAGGAAATACTTTTTAATGCCTTTGATAGGTATGTCAATTCGAATTTGCGTTGTCTTAAACAAGCTAGAAATTACAGCTATTAAATCAGAAACATCAAAGCTTCTAATTATACGCTCTTAGACAAAATAAACGACGTGCCAAGGAGGAGTTATCCAAATGGGACGAAAATCGGTAAAGTGATGTACATGTACAGAAAAACAAATGATTACAGTTTGAGAAAAATTTGATGATTTATTGAAATGATAGAGCTTTACAATGTAAAAAAGTCAGTAACGCGTTTATCCACCTCTGGCCCTTATGCAAGCCATTATTCAGCTTGACATGAATTGATAGAGGTTGTGGATGTCCTAATGAGGGATATCGTGCCAAATTCTGTCCAACTGGCGCGTCAGATCGTCAATATCCCGAGTGGTTGAGGCCCTGCCATATGCTCCAAACTGCTCAGTAGAGGAGACCACACCTGGGCAGTATGTGCGGAAGCACTAAGGCAGCGTAGAAAATTTCATGTGGGGGCGGCATTATTGCTGAATTAACACGGTCAGGCTGGCCGCTACCATGTGTCGGTTGTGTTCAAAACACACAGGCGGCCGATTATGAGAGGCGGCCACGGACCGCCGATTTTTAAGCAAAAAATCATACTCACCGAGTTTTATTGAAAATAAATCTTCCAAAACATAAACTCATCAAGCTTTAATAACGAAAATAAGCCGAACTTATGTCTTCGCAAATTTGTATTGTATTACAGTATTGTAACAACATAAGGAAATAAACACTTGAGTCGTCAAATTTTGTTCTTTATTGGGTTATGGAATATACGCCGATGCAGCAAAGAATTGATGATTGAAAAATATTACAGCGGACCAAACTAATAATTGGGGTTATTAGTTCATGAAAATAACCAATTGTTGGTTAATACTTGCTGTGGCAAACAGATGGCATTCCCCCTATACGAGGAGGGCGTTCTTCCCCCCCCCCCTAGAGACTCGACAGACGAAAAGGAGACATCACCAAGCGCATGCGCAGATATATTTAGCTGCGCCTTAATTTTCTTACAGTTGCGTTGTAAATTTGTAGTAGATGCGAAGAATGGACCACTGCAAGTGTGAGGTAACAAATTTTAATTTTAGTTTAAACAACCCCGTGCGATCGCATAGTTTTGCCGATTTTGCGTGTGCGATGTGAAGATGTTATATTTTAATGAATATACTGACTTTTTGTACTTTGTACTTTAAAAAGTGTTACCGTTTTGTTACATTGACACTTACATACTTTTTACCAAAAACGTGCGTAGATTCAGTGCAGTTTTGTATACTACTATTTAGGTTTTCATTTTCGACCCTTAAAAATGTCTGCCAGAAAAACTAAAAGACTGTCAGGTTATCAATATAAACAAAAGAGGAAAGCTAGGCTTGAAGAACAGCAACAACAAAGCGGTGCCTTAGAAAAATATTTGAAAACTGGAAGTGATAATAGTGATATTATAAGTGACAATTCAACAACAGAAATTTCAAGAAATGTAAGTAATAATGACAATGTAAATATTGTAAATTTTAGTGCATCAACTTCTGTGGGTACCGGGTGCCTAAGAGATGAATCTGTAGTGTGCTGGGAAGCAGGGAAAGACATTTCATTTACTGAAAAAAATCATGATGTTGATAATCACGAAAAAGAGAAAAGGGAAGAATGGGAGAAGGAAAACGTAGAGCTGACAACTGAAACAGGTAAGGACATGGATGCTTTAACTACTTTTAAATCTTTAGAAAAAGACGACGCTCTTTGCCTAGTTTCTGACGATCCTGGTAAATGGCCTATAAACCTAACCCACAGTCAGGTACAATATATAATTGAAAATTTCCCAAGTCAAGTTCAAAACATAGCATTTCCCAGAGATGAGCAAAATAAAAAATTTTCAGAGTCATATTTTTACCGTACTTTAAGCAATGGTGAAAAAATCCACCGTCCTTGGTTATTATATTCTTTATCTTTAAATAGTGTTTTCTGTGCTCCATGTAAACTATTTTGCACCGATGTCACAGAGAAAAAGGAGCGTATATATGGTAAAGAAGGAGTGAACGATTGGCAACAGTTATCTTTAATCTTGAAAAGGCATGAGAGCAGATTAATCCACATTAAATATACTAAACAAATGCATGATTTGAGTGTAGCACCGAAAAAGGGTACGACAATCGACTCGTCCAATCAGCGATTATACGAACTGGAAAAAAATCATTGGCGTGCCGTTATTGAAAGATTGATGCTTATTGTCAGATATTTATCTCGTCAGTGCTTGGCCTTTAGGGGTTCATCACAAAAAACTGTTTCAGCCAGCCAGATAATGGAAATTTCCTTCAATTGACTCAAATGATTTCCAAATTTGACGCAGTTCTTTCCGAACATTTACGTAGAATACAATCCAAAAATTACAAAAATGCGCCTCACTATCACCAAAACGAAATGATTAAGTTATTGGCAACAACTATATAGACAGAATACGACAGGCAAAATATTTTTCTATAATTTTAGATTGTACCCCAGATATTTCACATACTGAACAAATAACTGTTATAATTCGATGTGTTCCTTGCGTCCCACCAGTTAAGATTTATGAACATTTCTTGGGATTCTGCCCAATTACAGATACAACTGGTCAAGGATTATATGAGTTTATAGTAAAAAACCTTCAAGAGCTAAAACTGGATATGAATAATTTACGTGGACAAGGTTATGACAATGGGGCTAATATGCGAGGAAAACACATAGGACTACAGAAAAAAATTTTGGACGCTTGTCCCCGTGCATTTTTTATTCCTTGTATAGCTCACAGTTTAAATCTTGTTGTGAACGACGCTGCTAAAGTAAGCTTCGAAACAGTTGATTTTTTTTTACTTAATTCAGGAATTGTACGTTTACTTCTCAGCATCAAATTATAGATGGAGTATTTTATTAGCGCATATTCCGAAACTTACATTAAAGCCATTATCAGATACAAGATGGGAAAGTCGTATAGAAGCAATCACACCACTTAAAACACAATTAGGTGAAATATATGATGCTCTAGCAGAATTAAAAGATGATGCAACTAGGGATATAATTACGAGAACTTTGGCAAATTCACTGGGTAAAAAAATCAGTACCTTTAAATTTATATTTTCAACAATAATCTGGCATGCAATTCTTAATAAAGTCAACGTAGTGAGTAAACTTTTACAAAGTCCAAAATTAAACATTAAATCTTCAGCCGAAGCCCTAGAAAATTTAAAAGACTACTTTGTTGAAATAAGATGTGACGAACATTTCAAAATATTTATGGATGCTGCAAAACAAATTGCTGCCGAAGTTGAAACTAGAAGCAGAATTTCCTTCATCCAGCAGCAAAACGCATTGGAAGAAGAAAAAGAAATTTTGATTACGAACACGAGAATGAAAGCATTTTAGATCCAGAGAGTTCTTTTAAAGTCAACTTTTACTTTAAAATTTTGGATGCAACAATTGGGGCTATAAATGAGAGATTTCAATTATTATACCAACATATTAACATCTTTAAAATTTTATATAATATACCCGAATATGGCGACCTTAAAGACAATGAACTGTGCCGAAGCGGAACTAGCCTTGACAGACAAGAAGCTAAATCATAGCGACATTAACGGGGCGGAATTATTCGAAGAAATTAAAGCTATGCAACCCCATCTTAAAACTAATATGAATACAATTGGAATTCTTGAATACATACTAGAAAATAATTTATCGTCATCTTTTCCCAATTTAACCGTACTAATTAGAATTTTCTTGACCTTACCGGTCACTGTTGCAACTGGAGAACGTTCATTCTCCAAGCTCAAGTTGATAAAAAAAACTATCTTAGATCATCCATGAGTCAGGAAAGATTATCGGCTTTGGCAACTCTTTCTATTGAACACGAATTGTGCGATACCATAGACCTTAATAGTGTGTTAAAAAAATTTTCGGAAACAAAATCTCGGAGAGTGCAATTTTAACTTTTATCCTAAAAACAATTTGAGAAGTGTTTTAAAGCTCCCAGGTTCTTTTTTTCACCATTATAAGGTAAGTTTTTTTTTAAAAACCCGTTTGATTTAGTTCCCACAATTTTACTAATTTTTCTTTATATTTTTAAAACGATTTCGTTAAAAATTATCTCTATTTTATATTAAGACATTGAGTTTTGAAGTTTTATAATTGAAAACAAATATTTTTAAGACAAATTTGCTGAAAAATTATTCTTTGGAAAACCGTAGAAATTTACATAAATTGTATTCCATTCCAACGATCTTCATTTTGTACTCTAGAGGAGGGGGGCGGGGCGGCGAAAATTATGTGGGCACACAGGCGGCCATCACCCTAGTGGCAGCCCGCCAGGTTTGTACTGAGGCACCAATGGCCAGACTGGTCCTTGCTAAAGGTTGGTGGATACACAAAGGGTATATGAATGCCCCAGACTCACTCTGTTGCGGCAGTCGCAAACATCATTTGGTATCACACCGCGTCCGGGCGTCAAGACTTCTTGTGGTCACGGGCTCGTCAAAGCGAGACTCATCACTGAAGACTATTCTACTCCAGTCAGTGACATTCCAGTGTGAATGAGCCCGACACCACTGCAAACGGGCTTGACGTTGTACAGATGTCAATGGTAGTCGGCGCAAGGGGGCCGTGACCTCAGCCCCCTTTCTGTAAGCCGTCTATGAATGGTCCTTGCGGTCACTGAAGCACTAGTTACATGTACAGTCGATGATAATGATGCATCTGGGGCTGTGAGTGTCGCTCAGATGATTGCTCGGTCTTTACATTCTGTCATTTTTCTAGGCCTACTGCTTCCTTCTTGATGCTGTGTGTGGCCATGCTTCACCCATTCCTGCCAACATCGTCTAATAGTGGCATCGCTCCTGCTCAAATGTCGAGTTATTCGCCGATAAGACCAACCGGCTTCTTTGAGCCCAACTACACCACCTCTCTCAAATTCTGACATCTGTGCATGTGGTTTGTGCACCTGTATGCGAGGCTTAGTTACTGTCTACCAGAGTACACGGAATGAAATTCATGAATTTATGACCTGGAATCGTAATTTCTTCTCTTAAATATCTTGCCAATTGTGCAGTAGCATCAACTGTTCATTCATTGGCAGCCAAAACGTAAAATTTTGCATTTTCTGTCGAAAACTGTATGCATATCAATTTGTGTCCAATTTGCTGTATATCTTCTCGCTGCGTTATGGTGCATCTTTTTTTTTTTTTTTTTTTTTTTCCCTAAGTGTGTATTTTAAAACATTTTATACAACAGTGTATATCCTTAAGTGGATTTTGGTGTTCTGTGAGGAAATTTATCGATGGTGAATCATTAAAGTTGACAGTATTCTGAATTCTTATTCATATATGTAAATTATGTGTATTGTGGTCTATCTGCCCATCTTCACCCAGAAATTTCTCTAGCTTGTTCTAGGGGACAAAAATAGAATGCATTTGACTTTTTGGGAGAAACTCATAGTTTTGGCACAGTGAATCACACTGCTAAGCTTGGGGCGGAATTGAGTATAATGCTAACTTATGGCTACTTGCTATCATGTAACAATAATGGACTGAAGACACTGGGACAAAAATATCAAGCTTCTAAAGTTACTACTGTTGTTCAAGATTTTGGAAATATTAGTGAAAGAAACAGGAGAAGTGCAGATAGGGAAAAAATAAGAGTGAGAAAAACTGTAAGATTTTATAAGACCAAGGCAGTCTAGTAAAAAAGACTCAGTAGAAACCCACAGTAGGCAAAAAGGCAAAAGTGAAGTAAAAAGGAAATAACAAGGATGTTTATGCTGAATCACTAAAATTTGTGTACGAGTCCTTAGACTACATAGATTATTAAAAAGAACTTGTATTAATACGATTATATCTTTGCACAGAGCTGTTTTATTGATTAAACTATATGACTGTAAAGAAAGGAATCTAAGACATTTTCTCAAAGAATATTGATAATATGCATATAGCCAGAAGTTAATTTTGTGCATCCAGAGCCTTTTCTAGTCCCTTTTGCTGCCCAGTGTTGCCACAATGGCTCTGGTGTCGTCCCAAAAGTGTGTAAATTTTGTTATTTAATTTCATTCTTAGGATATTTTGCATTATATATTTTTATTAAATGTCATTTTTGTCATTGCGTAATTTTCCATTTTAATTATTTTTCAAATTTTGTTTATAAATGCGTAATTATAAATAAAAATTCTTGTGGTTGATTTCTGTAAGAGAAACATATGTTTGCACCCCTTTCTGTGTGGCAGCTGCCTGCAGTGTGAGTTTTGCAAGCTCACCTCTGCTCGTTCTGACAGTGTTTATTGGGATATTGCAACTATGAAGCTTGGGGTGTATCAGATTGGAGACATATTATGTTTGGCAACAAATCTTGCCTTTTACTCTGCTTTGTGGACCAGAGAATTTATGCACGTAGAAGACTTGGCCAAATTTAGTGATTCTCTGATCAGTTATAAAATATCTGGCAACAAAATTCCTCAAGCCAGCACTAAACATTTGGAGGAATCTATACCAGATCAAATATCCTCATGAACTGGTGCCTGGTTAGCTGAATATGTGCTATACTAATATGCAGTTCTGAACCTATATTAATTCAGTAAATCAGATTAATTTCTCTCCAATTTGAAACAATTCATTTTTCTCTTTTTATAGCTCATACCAAGTTCTAGCATGATGAAATAAGGGAAAAAGTTGGGCTTGTCTCAGTTCTCTCACCTTTTTTGATACAATGTGTCCAACCAAAAAAAATTAAAGAAAAGAAAAAGTTTAAGAAAATGGGAATTAAATTTCTTGAGTTAAAATACAGCCATAAAGTAACCACAATTAATTAATAGTATATGTGAACCATAAGAAGTTAAGATACTAAAATGTTTCTTGATGCCCAATATTTTAGTTTAACTCCATAGCACACCAATCACCATAAAACTAATAATTGGAAATACTGTGGCATTTTAAATGAAGCATTAATTGTCTATCTTCACATTCTTAGTGATAGAATGCATTTGTCTTTTTGGGAGAAACTCATAGTTTTGGCACAGTGAATCACACTGCTAAGCTTGGGGCGGAATTGAGTATAATGCTAACTTATGGCTTAAGCAAAGCCCATCAAAAGACTCTTTAGAAAAGCAGCCAGGTCTGTATGTTCCACTGTATATGTAAATTCATATGATCCACAACCTCTTCCTTGATCAGTAATACCTTTATGTGCCTCAGATAGAGCCATCTGGAGGCTACAGTCATTAAAGATGCCATTAATACTTTCTTATCACTAATAGAAAGCATCAAAAATCCAACTGAGGATTAAAATTTTTCAAGATTTGGAAAAATAAAATCCTCCCCCCCCCCAATATTGAAAAATGGTCTTTTAAATGAATGTGTTATTTCAACACTTGATAATATTTACTAAGACTAATTTATATATTTTATATGAAATGTAAGCATGTAACTGTTTTGTATTTATATAACTCTATTTTTGAAGGTATTAAACATACATTAATTTGGTTTATTTTTAGGTTGATAAAAAGTTTCCTGTGTATGCTTCCCAAGTATTAGACATGCTGAATAATTTAACAACATTTTTATTAAACCATCTTCATTTTGTTGGAAGGCATCTGATTAACAGTTGTGAGACTTTTGTAATTTGGCTCCAATCTAATGCGTATATGTAAGCTTTAAATATTTTGTATATATTTTAAATATCAGTAATGTTTTTAAGTATGAATAGTATTTGTGATGTAGTAATTATTATAATATTTAAAACATCATTTCTCTTTTGTTAAATATATGTAAAAAAGGTGTATACAGTATGTTTCACCCACCCCCTTTTTTTTTTTTTTTTTCTTGTAGAAAAAATACACTAGAAGCATTCCAAGCATACAGCATTGCATTGCTGGAAATTCTTCAAGGATATGCCAAGTCTCTGTTACATTTTGTGTAGAGAAAAATGTATATTCCTTTTACTAAAATTGTACTTTTTGTACTTCAGATGTTTATACCTTTTATAGCCAATTTTAAATAAAAATAATTATAGCAATCATGACTTGATTCTTATTCAAAGTAAGATTTCTAATTATTTTCTGTATATTATAAATTCATTGCTTGTATTATTTTAATATGTATAGATTTATATTTTGAAAGCAGAAATTTCACAGTTCCTTAAGACAGTTTATTGTATAATCGTAAGTAATTGTTAAATTTTAATGTTTCAAATCCCAAGTAAAATAGCATCATATTTTAATAAATATAAAGACAGTTGAACAGAATTTTTCTTAATATTTCCTTATGGAGATAAGTATAAAAAATTTAAAAAATCCTAAGAAAAAGTTTGCTTACCCCTTCCTGGAGTATAAATAAGAAACAAAGTATAGCATCCAGAGTTACATAATATGCCTGCAAAAGTTTACATTGGTAATTTACTTCTGTGCATGCTTTTATACTGAGCCTGCTGTGTTTCCAAAAAGGCTTATACAGTACCTTCATTGTAGTACATTTTTACATACAGAAAACAATGAAAAGTACTTCTATAAGAATTTGTTTTGTTGTAACTAAACGTGCGATATATTTCTAGTGTGAAGAATGTTTTGTATTAAACATGCAACGATGTTTAATATGAAAAATTGGTATAGAGCAGTAAAAGTATGAAAATAAAATTTACTTTTCTCATTTAAAACCTGTAGGCTAAATTTAAAATATAGTTTTTGTCTGTCCCATAGTAGGCAACCATGGCTACTAGGTGCCTCCATAATAAAGTGCCCACCGCTTCCAGCAATGCATTCCGCTTTCCAATGGCATGCACTAGCCATTGGAAAAATATATGTGTATACATATATATATATATGTTATGTATAAATTTAATTACTAATTTCTTATTTTTGGTTAACCTGTAGAGTCATTACACTTTTTGGTACTCTTCTGTTACTGGAAAGAGATTCAGAAATGTTTGCATGTGTGTATGTATGTATGTGCATATATTATGTGTGTGTGCAACTCCGCAACTGCCCAAGCCAGGACTTTGATTCCTCCCAGTTACATGTCAGATGTGCTACCAAGCTACGCCACTAAGCTGTGCAGAAAGGAATTTCAAATCTCATTTGGCTGCAATTTAAATTTATTTATGTTGCTAGAGCTCTATTTCTGCCGGATCGCATATGCAGTTTCTGTGCAAAACAAGGTGTTTCACATAGAAATATAATTATTATGTTGTGTGTTTGTTTAGAGGAATTACTTACTTCTCGCCATATGTGAAGAATTTAACAGTATATCAAAACAGAAATTGCATAAAATTCTGGGTCACTAAATTCTAAAGATATTTAGTAGTTTCTTAGTCTAATCAGGAAAACAGTCACAGCATTTAAATCGTAAGTTTATGTATATTATCCAAAAATATAAGGTATTGGTGGCTTTAATGCATGTTTTATGCATCAGTCTTTACATCTATTTATTGTACTCTAAATATTTTGTCATTGGCATTTACTGTAAGGACATTTAATGTAATAAGGTTGCTTATATAGGTAATGAAAATGAGATTAATTAGTAGTGATAAAATGAGCCTTTTGGTGTTGAGAGATCTCAGGCAGTCATTGTAGTAGTTGAGATAAAAGTTAGCAGAACGTACAATTCACATCTTTGACTGATGACTGAGTGGTTATAGCATAAGCATGTAGTAGAAGGATGAATTATTTGAAAGCTAATGTGCATTTAGTTAAGACATAACTTATTTTTTAACATTCTTGAAAGATATTCTTTCTACATTCCTACCTTATGGTGGAAAATAAGCACCCCAGGATTTATTTGTGATGTATTACATTTTTGAAACAATAGAGGAAACCAAGCATCCAATGTCAAGCAGACAATGTGAGCTTTGCAAATGAAAAGAAGTGAAAAAAGGGTTATCAAAGAGAGAGCGAGGTTGTGCAGTAAAGACCTTTTATACCAAAGCATGATTATATTAAATAGATTGCATTTCAGATCACATTACAAGAACATTTACACTAAGCTATAAGGTATTTTCTCCCTCCTTGCATGCCTTTGTGGCATAACGTAGCACACTTGGTGCATATTTGAGATGTTACGGTGAGAGCATTGCTCATTTTTCGTCTCCTGCTTCAAAAAAAAAAAAAAAAAACTAGTGACTCTACAGTGGTGCCCAAATTAAAAGGTAGTAGACAATAGTTCATCACCACAAGGATTTGGTCCCCTAACCCCAAAAGGCGGTAGTATATAAAGTATTTTCTCCCTCCTTCTAGCATGCTTTTGTGGTATAGTATGGCACACTCGGCTCATATTTGAGAGATCCTGGTGAGGGCATTGCTTGTTTTTCTGTCTCCTGCTTTAAAAAAAAACCTAATGACTCTACAAAGCAAATTAAATTCCAGATGCATAACAGATTAATATTTGGATGCTGGGCTAAAATTTCATTGCACTCCAGGAATAATTGCACAATAGAAATTAGGTGCCAGATCACTTTTCAGAATAGCAGGAAGTAAAGATTGTATTAGAAAAGCTATTGCTTTGCTAGTTTTAGAATGAAGAGGTAAGCATGCTCAAATTTAAAAGAAGAGTTAAAGGGGCTATTGTTAATTTATAATCAGAAAGATATTTAATATTTTACATATATTTATAAAAGTAGCAAGTATTTATATGTAGAATATTTATGTAATGGTATCAAGTTTAAATGTATTCTGAATGTTATTCTATTTCTTGAATAATATGAAAGAAGAAAGCCCTAATATTAATTTTAAAAATTTAGCTTGCTGAGGAAATTGCTTTAGTAATTTTACCAAATTATTGTAACGAAAGTATCTTTAACTAATAGCCTTAAGTGTAATAATAAAGCTGAATATTTTAGCAAACTGAATTTTTTACCTTTAAAACATTCCTTCCTCTATTTTATTCTGTTATTGCGTACATGTATCCCCTGTACAAGCAATATCGTGTTTCTGGTATGAACAGTACTAATAATTCAGTAGGATCATATTCGAAGTAATTAATGTGGCACACCCACAGGCAGACCTTGTATGAAATCATCTCTTTCCTTAAACAGATAACTGTAACATGCATTGCCATAATCAGATAAATCAAACCTGATCTAAATAGTTAATGTGATGGAGTTACGTGCTTATACTGTCTGTCTATGAGAAGAACAGTTCGCACAGTGTCTGGAGGGGTGGTCGCTATAGCAACAGGGCTAGACTATTTCAAATAAGGACAAACCAAGGGTTGCCATTTCATCTTTAAATGCACCAAGATGGCAAACTGAAAAGTAAATCTTCAAGGCACCCTTACGGAAAATGGGTCAAGGCGTTTTTCTACGGCAACAGACAGCTGCAGGCTAACTGGTGAGAGCTTTTCTTATGATAGACAGACTGTAATTTAAAACTATTTAAATATATTTGATACTAAGCATATTTTCTGTGATACTACTTGAATGCATGTGCACACTATGTAGTTAAAGTTATAGCATGATTCAGTGTAACAGCATTGAAATATGATTGGAATATATATATATATATATATCATTGCATCCTTTGAATAATATGAAATAAGAAAGGCCTAAAGCACCAAGAATTATGACTACCCGACACTATATTAATAGTACAATGTTTATAATTCGATTTTTCAAATTCTTTGCATTTTATACGTGTTTCTTGTATTTAATACATTCTGACTCATATAATGTTTTTGTATATATAGTCACACTATTTAATTATACAAATAATGCATAGATAACTTACCTGCACTTAGTGTTCTGAAGGAACTGTATCATATTTTTTATTTCACATAACAGTACTTGCAGTATTTTATGGATGGAATGTTGTTGCATGTAATGCATTTGTATGTGCAACAGTTAACCAATGCTGGCCTGTGGTGAGTCACTGAATACTGGTAGTGTTGTGATTCGGGTTTCAAATTCCGGCAAATGGCTGACTGTATGAAAGTTTTTATGAGGGTTTTTTTTTTCCCCCATCTGTAATATGGATACAAGGCATCCCTCTTCTTGGTGAATACCTTTGTGTGGATAGCAACATCAACAACAAAAAAACATATTATCAGCGTTATGTTTTTTAAGAGATTTGTGCTTATAAACCATTGAATTCTCTCTGTATTGCTTGTTAATTCTAAGTTTAGCTTTAAATGCATTTCTAATCAGTGTAATTTTGCTCATATATCAGTGTAATACTGCATTTTTAATATCACATAAACTGAATGTGATCAAATCTAATAAACTAATATAGATTAATATTTCAGTGTTATGATAGTTTCTTTTTACTCATTTCCAACCATATTTGTGGTATTTTTAGGAATATTGGAGAATTTCAAGTGTGTGCAATATTGTATAGCTGTATTCTTGTAGTATGTAGGACATGTTTTGATGCTTTTTACTTCAATAAAACCTCAGATGCAAATTCTAAAATCATTTACACAACAACAGGACATGTAGCCCAAGTAACTTTTTAAATGATTCAATAACTGCTATCTGGTCTACCATCTCAGCCTCTGACCATTGCTTTGACAAAATAGAATCATCCACTGGAAAGTACCAACTTTTTTTTAAAACAGAGAGTCAGTTTATGTTGTGTTTGAGAGACGAATGTGTACACTACAAAATCCAAAAAGAATTATAAAATTTGCAATTATGGTTCAGCCACAGCTGAGTGACAAAGTTAGCAAAAATCATCGGAAATGTGGTGTCCATGGCTCAGCTGCTTATTGGCTGGAGTCGTGAATTGTTGTACAGCATCCAATAAATTTTGTTTCACTTAAGTTAATAAAATTTTAAAATGAGTTCAGAAAAATTTGTTGAAACGGAAAAGAGAGCGAGCAGCTTTTCCGACAAGTGAAGAAGACAAGAGAGAGCAAGTTAATAAGCTGTGCAAAGAACTAGTGAAATGCTACTATGAAAAGAAAAAGCAAAAGAATTTCAACATCCCACACTATTTTCAAATAAATGAAAGAAGCCTGAACTTCATAGTCATCCAGTACATTATTATCAGATTTAGGCAGATCTCAGATTCATCACAGAGAAGAATATTTTTGTAAACAGTGATGGAAATATTTAGATGAAAAATGTACAAAATCATTTTACGGATACTGAGTTTACAGTGCTTTATCTTTATGGAAGATTTAACCGCAGTAAGTAAAAATGACAACATTTGTGTGTTGCGCGAGGAATAAGTTTATTAGGAGAAAGAAAAACGGTTATTTCTTGCAAATCTCGCGCAAATTAGTAACCCGGATACGATCGGTTAAAAGAAGTCAGTATTTTGTTCTTTTCGTAACTGTTGATATTTGGATCGTAGAACATAATAAAACAACCAACAATAGTGAAAAGAAGTCTTGCATATTTTATGCGAAAAATCATGAAAGCCAAGATTGCCTTTTGCTCAGACGATTTTGATTGTAAAGAATAAGGAAGGATTGCCTCAAAATTGGACACTGTGCCAAGCAGTGCATGGCAAATGTACGATGTTTGATATGCTCGAAAATGCATTGGGTTGTCGTGTCTGAATTCACAAACCAATCAATAGACAAGTGGCGTTGAGAAGAATAAGAAAGAGAAAACACAAAACGGTTCACTTGTGAGTGCCGTTTTCCTAGATGAAATATTTCTTCAAACTCTTATTTAATATAGGCGCAAACAAAAAAACAGAAGACAGCAAGAGCACTTATCGACACAGGGTCGCAACGTCCATACATATTAAAGGAGACTACTGTAGACATAAGATGCTACCCAAGCGGATCTAAATCTTTGATTCACGCTCTTTCTGGAGGGATAACAAAAAAAGAAAATTCAGAAATGCTAAAAAATAAACAAACCTAGAAGGTTATTTTCTAGACGACTAATTTTGTAGAATAGTTCAAGGTTTGTGGACCGTGGCCAGTTTACAGTTTGGACAATGGATAGAACTACTAAGGCAGAAAAATATCCATGCGTCTGATATAGGAAGAAGGGACTTGAAAATACAAGTCTTATTGGAGTTGACGCTGCAGGTGCTCTGTTAACCGGAAGACTCCAGAAATTAGAAAATGACCTGACTGCTGTGGAATCACTACTCAGATAGCCAGTCATGGAAAAGATGAATAATTACATTTCAGAAAGAAACACCTTGTCCAAGTCATCAAAAATAACTTCTACGTTCGTTTAGTTTAGCTGATTACGACAAAGCACGCTAGAGTATTTACCCGAGGGATGCCTTTGTGGAGGACTTTCTAAAAGAACCGGCACGTTGCACAACGTCTATTTTGACTCACAGCAGTGACATAGAAAACTTGTGGAAGCTAGAAACACTAGGAATTTCATATGGTAAAGAAAATAAAACTGACTCAGAATTGAAAGAAGCAGTGTGTGATCACTTTGATAAGACTTTGAAAAGGGTGGAAAATCGATATGAAATCAGTTTACCGTGGATCAATGAGCAAGAAGCTTTACCAAATAACAGAGAAGTTACTGAAAACGATTGATTTCCACGACAAAGAAACTCGTGTTGAAAGACAAATTTGGAATGTATACTGTAGTGTTCGAAAGATGGCTCGAATCTGCAGTACCAGAAATACAAGAAAAAGTACCAGAAGAGGAGAAACGACTTGACAGTCCTTATCCCCCCCCCCAGACTGGTGTTCGAATATAATTGTACAATACCAGAAATACTTGTATTTGGCTGTTCATACAAGCAAAAAGACTTCCTATCACAATAACTGTGTAGCAAAAGATCAAAATTTAATTAAATTAATACCTGTATTACTTCTTGATTTTAGACAAGCAAATATAGGGATTATCTAAGATGTTAAAAAAGCTTTTCTTCAAATATCTGTTTAAAGAAATGATAGTGTTCGCCATTCCCGAGTCGTCTTTAGACTAAAACGCAGTCAGTTTCTTTTAGGAGCAGTTGTCAACTCTAATTTAGACTAGTGTGAAAATTCTTTGAAGGAAGTGGTTTTTTATGTTAACAACTATGTTACTTCAAAGAAGCAGAATACTTTATTGCAAAATCATCTCAATTAATTACAAGTGCAAACTTCGACATAAGAGGGTGAGAGTAAACAGAACTGAGTAGGGAGAAATCTACATTGGGTGAACCAATTGAAAGTACTTGGTGTTCTGTGATACATATCTGAAGATTCATTGTTTTGTGACATCCCATGATTGATCTCAGTGACAAGACGAAACGCGCTATCAATTCCAGAGAGAGTTTTAGTCCAAGCAGGTTTCACCTGCCTTTTTACACTTCTCCCAAAGTTATACTTACAAACAGAGTCGTAGCTAGGGTTTTCAGGGCCCAGGGACAACTGAAGATTTTGCGCCCCCTTCTGCTTGCACAAGGATGGAAAACATTTAATTCTAAAATGTCGGTAACATCAGTTTGGCGCCCCTTGGATTCTGCGCCCGGGGACAGATGCTCCCCTCTAGCTACGCCCCTGCTTACAAAAGAGGTGAGAAAGTAAACTAAACTGAGCTGGGTTGCAGACCTATCTGAAGATATCAAGAGAAATTTCTTGAAGTAGGCCAAAGAATTGCTCTTGTTATTATCAATGATAATTCCCAAACTAGTTACACTGACAGAAGGACAGTCCTTTAATTTATGTACCTTTGCCGACGCTTCACAGAAATCGTCTGCAGGTGCCGTATATTTGAGAAGTCAGAGTGACTCTACTGCAAGTCAAAGCACAAATATCTCCCTTGAAAAAAAAAAAAAAATAGTATACCACGAAACTTGAATTGCTTACCTTATTGAAGTGCGATTAGCCTCCATTGTCAAGAAAAAAACTTAAGCTCGAAATTTCAAGGGAATATTATTGGATCGATTCTTCTAAATAAAGAATCTAGAAGCTTGGAGCACTTTTGTAAATAACAAAGTTATAGAAATTAGGATCCTAACGGATCGTGAAGATTAGTACTAGTACCAGGTGCAGAAAACCGAGCCGACTTGCCACCAAGATAATGTTCTGCGAAAAAGTTTATTGAACCAAGATGGTGTGAGAGCCCACTTTGGTCCGCAGGCCTTTTTCTACTCCAGTCGATAACAAAGAAGTGGTTGATGCTGAAAAACGTAAAGTTAGCAATATGTCTTCATAAGTCAATGACTATTTTTCAAAGTAGACGAAAATACTATGGATGATCGAGTGGACACACAGCTTCCTAGGAAATATCCGGAAGAGGAAATTTCTCTGGCTACTAGAAATAGAAGCCAGAGAGTTAAATTTATGAATTGACAAGAGCACAGAACTCTTTCGTGAAGTTCATTCAATATGATTCCTTTTTATCTGATGATATTAAGAAGCTGAAGTCAGTGTGTTTTGAAATGACCAAGGCATTTTACGTGTTAAGACTAGGTTGACTGGAAGAAAAGGTAATGAAAATTTTATTTATTCACTATTACCTCCAGTGAATCCTAAAACTGAGGAGAAATTAAATTAATAATTGAAAATATCTGTCTACTTCTTATGAAAGAATATGCATATTGATCTTAAAACTTGGAGACACATTTTGGTTCTTAAAAAGCAGCTCAAAGATTCGAAAAGTTTGATATGGATGTATCAGGTACAGGAAAGCTGGAAGTAAAAGACTGACAGACTATACCATTTATTCTACCAGAAAATAGTGTTAGATGTTCTTGTGTTTTCAAGATTTTCGGAATTGATTTAGCTGGCCCATTAAGTTTGAATTGGAAAAGCTTGGATTATACTTTTCACCTGAGCTGTCAGGGCGGTTCATTTAGAACTGATTTTTGTCAATTTTGACTCAACGAGTTTCTTTGACGAACTGACAATGAAGGGAATTTTGTCCCATCCAACAAGTTGGAATCAACATTTAGTTGCATTATTTGTGCATAAGGCAAACAAATCAATAGTACCATTATGCTATAATAAATTTAATAATATTTTTTACAGAAAAAGAGAGGTATTAATTTTCCCAGGCGCGCAACAAATTGCATTTAATTCAAATCAATGAAAAAGAAATTGACGTCACAGCCAATAGAGAACAAGAACGCACTTTTGTTTACCTTTGTGTTAACTTAGGTTAACATACTCTGCAGACCTTACCTTTTCCCAATATAACTGTAAAGAAACTTTTCTATGTGACTTATTGGAATAAGTACGGACCTTGGGAATGAATGAAGTAATGCAAGAAGCGTATCTGCGCACGTTGTCATACGTCTTGGAACTAAATTCCCACTTTTAGATCGGGTAACTGTCCGACGTTAGACAGGAAGACCGTGCCTAGTCACAACAGCAAACGATTTGAATGCGAAAATATCGATAAAGAAGATCCTCATTCGGCGTAGTTGTTCAGTCTGCTGCCTGGCTATATATAAAGGTGCCCTGGCAGTCTATGGTCGGCTTCTTAGCCCATTACAATAGGATAGAACTATGGCTTCGTCTAGCGTGGTAAATGTTTTTTTTTTATCCTTTAATTTCAAGTTAATTTGGATTGTAATGATTATTTCATACAATATATTTTCTAATGTTTGTTGTTAAATTGTGCGAAACAATATTCCAGAAAGTACATCTGGTAATAAACGTCAGCGAGTGCTATCAAGATTAAGTATTGTGAATTCGATTTTCTTTTTTTGCTTTCTATTGTTACTTTTAAGACATCAAGTTACTGAAAGATTATTAATATTTAGTTTTTTTAAATCGCGTTTGGAAACATACTATATTTTAATAAATGAAAAACTCATGTTACTATTACTAAGCTCTGGATATTTCCGTCTCGGAAGCAAAGTTAGCAAAATAGTAGGTATTAAAGTAATTGAATCTTCTAATTTTTATGTAGTGTTTGTCGTTCATGTAAAAATTGTATTAGCTTTAAGAAAATGTGGTAAATTATGCTTAACGATTAGAGCCGTATGTTGATTAGAATTTGTCTTTACAGTTGAGCATCAATACTGAGAAATCATGAGTCGAATTAATGTTGAAATGTTTTTGCTTTGATTGTGGGCTTTGGAAGAACAGATAATTTTTCTAACGTTATCGATAACAATCTTGTTAAAATACAATATCCTATTATCTTGGAATTTTGTTCATTTCTTCCTCTTTTTTATAGCATTGAACTTATTGTCTGTATGTAAACGGTGGCTTTTTTTTAAACATTAAAAATATATTCTCAGTTTCCACTGTAGAAGAGGAGCAAAGTGCCATTTAGCTAGTCTGATCTTTAACAGGATGGTGTAATTACATTAATGAGTTTAGTACCAGCCATCTTCAGTCTTTTTAAAACTAACATGGGGACTATACATAAATACATACATAATATCTAAAGGGACTATACATATCTATACATAAATCTAATATCTGTCCTAAGTCACGCATTTGAAACATGAAAAAGTTAAATTCCATCATTTGACCAGGTAAAACAGGAAATATAAAACTGTCCCCCACTTTTTTTTTTTTTTTTTTTTTTTGAAAGTGTAAAAAATATATTTACGGGGGGGTGCCCATTGGCGGTACATGGACACAAAGTTTGTGCAATTCTTTGACTTGTTATTTTGGCTTTGTGTAGCAGCAATTTTTGTGCCAAAAATCCCCGCTACACAAATCCAAAATAACAAGTAAAAGAATTGCGCAAACTCGGTATCCATGCACACATCAACCTATTTTCATTTAAAAAAACATCAGAGAACTGCACAAACTAGGCATTGGGCTTTGTCAATGTATACATAGATCTATATTCACTTAAAAATTCAAAGGAGCAGCCAAACAAAAAATGTGATCTCATAAAAATACGTTTTAATTCAAACAATGAAGTAACATAAAAAAGGAAATTCATCTTAGCAGTACACAAAGGAAATATCCACTTATCTTATTTACAAATTTCCGTGTCTTCAGTCAAACAAAATTCCTTAATAGCTATTCCCAGAAGCTAACCTAAAATTATCTGAACTAGAATCTGTATAGTGGCGTCACCACACAAATTCACAAAACGAAGAGTAAAAAATAACCTACGTAGTGCCGAGTATCTGTCCGAACGTTTGACTATACGCATTTCCTTCCTACAAACAGGACCCTTAGTAATGGCTACTAAGTAAACCATCATTTATACACCAGTCTATTAATGGTTTTTTTTTTTTTTTTTTTTTTCCTCATTTGTTCCAAATTGTGCAGAAATTTCAAATTAATCTTACCACATCCAGCCATTTTACCTTGTAAATCGCAAAATAACAACACACTTCTTATCCAAAATTTGACACACACCTTCCAAATCTTTTCCCATCATTCAAATTGACCGCAATCACGCAACCAATTGCATCATAATAGGGTTTCCATAACATTCAACTACTCAGGTTATCATAATTGAAACAACAATTTGTCAACAAATGAAACAGCAACTTAGTGATAATCCAAGGGGCTCCCTTAAATCTACTCTAACCAAAATATCTTTAACATTTTACAGATACTGAGTTCAAATATGTTTGCAGTAGACTGGTTTATGAAAGATTTGATCACAATGAGTAGGAATGATAAATGTGGTTTCTTGTGGGCGATCCTTGTATAACAATAAAATATGAACATTATCAAACAGTCATGTTTTCATTTATCCAAATTGTCCAGATTTGCCACAGCTTGATCCAATAAGCAATCACTTGATATTACCTTGTTTGCTATTCATACAAATTCATTGATTGCAAGCAGAAGTGTATGCAAAATCCTGTGTTGGAAAAGGAATAGTAGGTTTATGCATTAAAACCCAGCAGCCATTTTGAACAGCCTTCCGTCAATTTAAAAAAAAAAAAAAAATTGAGCTGATGTGGTTGATATATTTTTAAACTCTTGAATAGTTGAAAAGAATCATTTCATTTCATAACGTTTTTGGGGCTGATAACAGTTTCTGCAATTTCCCTAGATTCCTTTTCATTTCTAAAAAATGTGATAATTTCTGAAACTTCACATTTCACTTCCCTGTTTTATTTTCTGTGAAAATATAAAATTAAATCTTGTGGTAATAACTTCAATAAATGGCCATGCAAACTGTTCGCAACATGTAATGAATTTATTAACTTCTATTTCATTGTAGAATTTACATAAACCTTTAATGTTACATGAACTTTTCACAGGCTCTAAGTTTTATAATTTGTCATGTAAGAATTTATAATAGAATTAGTTCTACCATATGTGTTTTAAGAGTTCAGGACTTTAGTTATAGTTTTTCTTTTTTAATTTAAAACCAGCAACAGCATTTATATGCTGGGCCAGAAATTGAGGAGTTTAAGTAAAATTTACTAAATTAAATCAGAGGATCACAAAATTTCTAACTAATAGTAATTCTAATAAATAGTAATTTTAAAACTGTAAAGTGTTTTACGAAATACTAGATGTAATTAGAATAGAATTAGTCTACTGAACATTATCTGGTTTTAACTCTTTAATTTGATCTTTGTCGTGCATTCTTGTGGACCTTTTAATTCACTTTTCAATTTTTCCAGATCATTTATGAGTGTTTCTGGCTCTAAATCATAGCTTTTCAAAATCTCTTCTTTTGGTTCTGAAAGTTCCAGTAATTCTGATAATGAATTTAACGTTTGGAAGCCTCATCAAATTTTTTAACTCTTTTAGTAATATTTATATGAACATTACTTTTCTTTTCACCTATTTCTGAAATCTAATCCATATTAATTCAGAACTTTTTAGCTCAAAGAGCTCTTGCACAGTCCGGAATACAGAAATTTGTAAAGTATCCAATAATGGCCAATTACTTCCAACACTTTCCTTGTGCTGGCTGGCTGGACTTCATAAATATTGTATCTGATCATTCAGTATGGCTAATAATGCAAGAATGTTCTTGTGAAGAACATAACAAAATTTGCAATAATGTAATAATCTGTAAAGTCTGTGTCTCTTTGGGAACATAAACTTTTAAAAGGACTGTTGAAAATTATCTTCTAGCCTCGTGAAACAAAACAGAAATCGGAAGAAGGCTGTATAAGACCCTTTTATTCACGCATGATATTAACAAATGACCCAGCTTGGGTTACAAGAAGACAGCACTTCTGGCTGAACAGAAATTCATAATGGATAATAATTTCAAAGTGTGGTAGATTAGCCTAAGGGCTCACAGAATACGTTAACATGCAGGAAGAGTTCTGGTTTGTAGTAAACAGGTGAGAAGAGCCTAATGTCTAGAACACTCTATGTTGCTAATGTAAGTCACTAATAATCACAGCACAACGTGGCCTGGAATATGCTGACATGCTCTGAAACTAACTTCCAGAACTTTTTCTTAAATAGCACTTCTGCCTTAATCTGAATGAACTCATGCTGTCTCATTTACATTCTGGCATGAAAAGTGTGGGTGAAAAGAGAGTGATAGGCTTTTGAACTTAAAATGAACTATTACTTAAAATAAATATATAAACCTCACAAATTGAGGATATATTGTTAGGCTATCTCATCTTCTATATGCTTAACATCTTGCCTCCCACTGACTCTCAGAGTAAAAGTAGCACTGAATGACATGAGAAACAAATAACACTCCCCTTTCACCATTGCTAGACAATCATCTCCTGCTTTCTCAAACTCAAAAAATACATATATGTTTATTTAAATTTAGATTATTTTTGAATGTGTTATGAATAAATAACACAAAAAAACTTCAGGAAATATAGAGGCTGTTTGTATATTTTTTATACGATTTTACTTTGCTATATAAAAAAAAACTTGCCTACTTGGAAAAATGTTTTTTAACTTCAACTATATTTTTTAGAGTAATTTATCGTCTGCTATTTGACAATTTTGTTTTCATGTGAAATGGCGCTTTTAAAGAAGCAACGAACAGAAGGCCACATTTGTACTCTTTCTGAAGAAAATTATTTGTATTTAATTATTAGAAAATGCTGTGAAAGCCATGATTTTTCAGTATCTAAAGCAATTGTTTCCAAACCTTTTTGATCCATGGACCTCCTTTTTATAGTCAAAACTTGCCCATGGACCGCCAAGTGAAAATGCTACATAAATGCATTATATAAAAATTACAAATTTAAAAAAAAATAATGACTTGGATTAACTTGATGAGATGTTATGAGTGTATTTATGTCCGGCTCAATGTTCATGAGTAGCGACTGCAAAACCCCACAAGCATTAATTTCTAGTTGGTTTCTTTTTTTTTTGTGTGTGATGAGGTTCATAACAGCATTGAATTCGCGTTCTACCAAATAGGAGGATGGAAAAGCAGTTAACAACTTTTATACAATAACCCATGCAGGATATAAATAAAATAATAATGCAGGATATAAAATTGGGATCTGTTTTTGTAACCAGAATTTCCGATATCCTTGTTCAAACATTGGTTTAAGTTCCTCATTTGAGGATATTTCAGCAAGCATCTCCTGTATTAGTAGGGATTGAACTGTGTTTGGGATCTGAGTTTGTCCATGCACAAAAGGGTTCAACAT